AAAAACATACAATCTGGCAGGCAATAGCGGGTTTGCTACAGTTGTTAAAGAGATACAAAGGTAGAATTGAACAGTCTGTCCAGGAGTTTTGTGTAAAAAAATTATACAGAAAATGGCTGGCTCCTGCACATGCTTTTATTATGGGAACAAACTGGGATGAACTATAGACTTTCCCCTATTTCCCAATTAGCTTACTGGAATCGGAGTCACCTTGGCATATAGAGGCATGCACAGATTGACTTTGGATACAGATTCAACCAAATTCAATCTATGTAAACAGTTGAACACAAGTATGATTATCAGGATAAACATCAAATATATCCCCAAAGGAAGTATAATCTGGACAAGTTTATTCAATTTGGTGCAAAGTTTCAAGTCAGACAATTGAATGGTTATAAGGTGAATTCAATTAGGACACTACATGAGTGTGTTATAAAAATGACTAGAGATGGCCGCTTCGCATCCGGATATCCGGCTGCTTTTTCTAGGGAAACCGGCATCTGCACCCGCATCCGCATCTGCCAGGGGGTATCCCCCTGCCTTAGCGGGTATTCGAGCGGGTATCCTTGGATACCCGCCCTTTAAAGGACCGGCAAGGGACCGGCTGAAAGGGTTTCCTTCCATCCGGCGAGGTACATGCTCAACGGCTGGAAGGATTTCCTTCCAGCCGTTGAGGTACATGTACCTCATTGACTGGGTAAACCCTCCGGTCGACAAGGTACAGCCCCTTGACAGAAAAAAAGGAACCCTTTAATTGGAGGCTAGAGGCCAAACCAATGGACTTCAATTTATGCTTCCTGGTGAAACTGTGGAGAATGAGTTCTAAAGAATGATTCTGACAAATTGAAACGGAAAATATTTTGTAAAAATTTTGTATGTTTTTCCCCATTTTCTGATTTTTTGGGTATTTTCCAATCATTTTTCAAAGTAGCTCAGAAAATTATGATCAATGCAATTGCATGTAAAAAGAATGATTATAATTAAAAAATTTAAAAAAATGATCAACAGCTTTTTTAAGCATGTTTGGATTGTGTCATCCACCAGACCAACCCTGCAATCAGGCACTGAAATTGAATTCAATTTCAATATCAATCCAACTTCTTCAGCTCTCTAAACTTTGGCTCATTGATTTTTCTCAATTTTTCATTTATAATCATTCTTTTCACATGCAATTGTGTTGATCATAATTCTCTGAGCTACAGCTGTTCCCAAAAACCTTGCGGGTTTGGGAAGGCTGTATTTCCCGAAGAATTTGTTTTTTTGCCTCTTTGTTTTAGCGCCACTCTCTCCTGTACATGGCCCTGTATGGCCACAGTACTTCAGGCCACAGGACCCAACTCCCACATTTTCCGAGTTGAGTGTGTGGGAGTTGGATCATTGTAATCCTCTCCATTTTTTGGTCAGGGGCCGCTCACCACATGGGGGCTCTGCCAACCCCTGCCTGGCAGCTGGCAGGCATCGGAACCCACACCGAGGCCTCGGCAGCCAAAACAGAGCCTGTACTGGAATCTATACAGGCCGTGAGGCGTAAAAAATCGGTGGCGCTAAAATTTTTCTTCTGAAATACAGGCCTCCCGAAACCGCAAGGTTTTTGGGAACAGCTGTACTTTGAAAAAATGATTGAAAAATACCAAAAAAATCATAAAATGGGGAAAAACATACAAAATTTTTACAAAAGATTTTCCATTCCAATTTTTCAGAATCATTCTTTGGAACTCATTCTCCACAGTTTCACCAAGAAGCATAAATTCAAGTCCATTGGCTTGCCCTCTAGACTCCAATTAAAGGGTTCCATTTTTTCTGTCAAGGGGCTGTACATGTACCTCGCTGGTTGAAAGGGTTTCCTTCAGGTCGACAAGGTACATGTACCAACAGTGGGCCGCTACGCTACACTACACTATTTGACCACTAACAGTTAGTGTAGCGGCCTTTTTTTTCTCTAGAAAATCTGTAGTGTTAGCGCGTGCTAAACACCGCTGAGCTAACTGCCAGCGTAGCGTGAAATTTTTCTCTCAAATTTTCTGCAGTGTTAGCTTCAAATAATCACCGCTAAACTAACAGGTAGTGTAACTTTTTTTTCACTAACAAAATTTTGACTAACAGATAGCGTAACTGAGTTGACGCTAACATTTAGTGTAACTGGTCCCACACTACGCTACAATATATTTTAAGCTACACTACACAATGGTGGACAAATGAAAAATTTCAAGTGAGAAAATAACACAAATGCATGCCTTGGGGTGGAATTGAACACTTGACATGACAGGTTAGTAGCATCTCCAGACATCCTCCTTGTCCACATGACTAGCAGTACATGAGGAATGGGTCAGTGAGTTGAGGTTCAGTCAGCAAGAGGATGTCATGGACATGCCTGTGACATGTTCACTCCCTGGGCTCTGAGTTTGAACTTGAAGTTCAAGCAAGGGGAGATGGATGTCGGATAGGGTTGGCGGCGCCGGTCACGAGGCGCGCTTGCGCGCTGTCGCTCCCCGAGCGACGGGTGCGACGGGTGCGGGCGCGCCCAAATGCCCAAAAACCCCCCTAGGGGCGCCCTCCCAGGAGCCCAGGCCCCCAGACCGCTCGGGGAGATGATGGGGAAGGGGCTCTCGGCGGCCCTGACCGGGGCCGCTATGCTCGCGCCATGTACCTCTGGGGGGGGGGCATATGTCTTCATCTGACACCAGGGGTAGTTGGCTTGGATTGCCCCTGTATCGGGGCGGGTCCGTGTGATGCCTTTCTACGCCTGTGGGTTGCTCCGAGGGCTGCCTACTGGCGGCCCTCCAAAGCAACCCGAAGGCCTTTTTTCGGCCCGCCCAGGCAAAACCGCCCGGCCCAAGATTCCAAACAGGATCAGGCCGGAGAGGACCTCCATAACACAGACGGAAGTGAGTAATACATATTCCAAACGCATAGAAAAAAAAATCAAAACCACCAAAAAGTCCCATACAGCCCGAAAAGCCCCCGCGCCCAGGAGGACTTGGAAAAGGCGCGCCTTGGCGCCCTCAGCTCAAAGGTGGTGCCGCCAACCCTAATGTCGGACCTCCAATCTCTTCCAATCCAAGCAAGACCCCATCAAGATTTTTCATCCTCATCCTCATCATCAACTTCATCAAAGCTCAATCTGATCTTCATCTCAATTAAATACTCATCACAACCACCTCCATTATATCCTCCAATACAAAAGTCTCTTCAGCTTACTCCCTCTTCTGAAACTTAGGTCTCTCATTGGATTGCATTGGACTAACTTCAATCATTTCGATCTCAGCAACCGTTTGCTTTTAGTCAACACAATGGCCAACGAAGTTGTAGCCCTTGATGCCAGCTTTCCAACGAACCAAAAACTCAGGAAATCGGACCTTTTTTGCAAAAGTTATTGCTACTCAAAGTCAACCAGCAAAAATCAATTGCTTCCCTAAAAGGGAACAAACTAGAAGACTGCTCCCCTGGCTCTGATGCTTGCTAACCTCCCCCCTCTTTGATTTAGGTACCCCCACACACATTTTCTTGACCATTGACTGTGGATTACAAACAGGACGGGCCAAAAAAGCGGTATGATTTCAAATTTGTGTTAAGCGTCCGCAGGTTGCTGATCTAATTTTTTTGCTTCTTCTTACTCTTCCTGTTTCCCTTTCCTGCAGCTGGCTACTAAATGATGGAATAAATGGATCTTGGGGTGATTCAAACCCTGGGGACTAATTTATCTCTTGATATTAATAATAATGCCAGTATGAAAGCAGCAAAGAAATGGTGCCAAGCCAAAAAAAAACAGGAGCTTTGAAACCAGATTCTCAAACAAACTCTCACCCCTAGTGATACCACCTACTTTTTTCAATTGGAGGAGCGTAATCAGTTACGCTAACTGTTAGTGTAACTCAGTAATCAGTTACAGTCGTTCCAAAATGGAATGAGAATCGGTCTCACCAATTTTGGAAAATCCCCACTAAAATAGTGCGGAGTTTGAATTAAGTTTTGCAGATAGACAACAAAAAGTTGTACTAATGGCAGATATCGGGGGGAGGGGGGGTGGGTCAACTGGCACTGCCAGTTGATGAGTGCTTGACAATACACCCACTGACCCAGCAAGCCTTCAATCTCATCATGCCATCCGAAGAGCCCATACCCAATCTTGGTAGCTCACATTCAGAACACGAAGGCAGCCATGAAGAGAACATCACAGACGATGGTCAAGATGTCAAAGTTGCAGTTTTCTTCACAATCTATGTCAACATGCCACCAAGACAAGGACATCGCGGTATGGTCCGGGTTCCACCAAGATGCTTCAAACATCACAAAGGATGCTTGATTCAAATGTGTCAGGCTCTGTGATGCCAAGGCTATAGGCTTTCTAGCTACACAGGCCAATGAGGCAGGTTTGGTAGGGGGTAAATAAGGGGTAGATAAAAGGGATCGAGGGGCCCAGGTCGATGGGGGTGTTTACGGTGCCCTCAGAGTAACGAGCCTTGGTCTAACGCTTATACTGAGCGTGACGGTATGCGGTTCGACGAGACAGGTCCTAGTGTCGGCTAGGGGTGGTAGTCTGTACTAAGGTAGATGGGATAGAGGATGGTGGTACTGAGCTAGGAAAGAAAGGACTCACTATCGAGAGGCTTTCGTTTGTATCTTGTCGGCTCTGAATCCTCGTTACCCGGATACTGGTCTAGAAAGTGGTTCAATCCTGGTTGACGGAGCTTTAAGGGTACGGAGTTGCAAAGGTTGAATCGGTGGAGTTCTAGTAGTATTGTAAGAGGAAGGGCGAAAAGGAAGTTAGTTCGTTGGTAGCGGGTGTCAGGTAAGGATAATGAAAAGGTGGATGTCGTGCTGAGTCTGCCCTTTCTTACTTTCATCTACAGCATCCTTTTATATCCTAAAGACTGGTCCTCGAAAGCGTGCGGGAAATCCTAGCCTCTTCTGGCCATCGAGGCTCGTTCCATAGCGATGACGGTCGAGTTTCGACGTTGTTCTAATTATTCTGTAAGGTTTTAGGGATTCCCGCTGGAGATGACGCGGGGATCCTAGTTCTGTTTCCGCTGCGGCTGCGTATTCTCTAGCGCGCACTCCCATGCCATCATTACTTGTCATATCTCATGTTCTGTAAGTAATTCTAATCACATAATGGCTCTTTTTGTAGCTAAGTGTTTTCATTGAATATTTCAAAAGGATATACATTTAATTTTTAGAGGAAAAATAGGCTATTATATTTATTGAGGCATTAGTCAGTTTGTTCTGATTTCCGTAACAAGTCAGTAACAAGCTGACAAAATGCATAGTTGATCGGCCACCCTTGATGAAGTCCAACACAAAATTTCCCACATTTTGAATGCCCGGTGTCAAAATCTCGGGAACTTGGTTTTGGCTGACTTTGAATCCGAATCTCCAAAGATCACATGGAAGGTCTATGTTTCCAACAGTGCCTCGGGTCTTTTTAGTCAAAGGAACAACATGATACTCACTCCTGGAATCTTCGAAGAGTGGAAAGATGAAATTCGGCACAGTCGACGTGGCCAAGCTAAGATTTCTATACAGCAGCCCAAACCAAGCCAAGAGTCAACAGCGGATGAGGTATGAAGCTCCTTTCTTTTCTATACCACATCTCTTTGTTTTTTGATGAGTTGATCAACTTGATGATCCAATTTTGTTGATTGTTTAGGAAGCTGCAGTTGAAGGGGCACTTCACGAGATGCATGGTGCCAACGGAGGTCCCAGTGAAAACCGAGATCAACCAGGCAACATCACCGAATCAAACGAAAGAGAAGAAGAAACTCCTCCGTTGAATGATTTTGCTCTGTCGGCGACTATCTGTGAGCTGTACAATATCCATTGTCAAGCTGGCAATTTGCATCGAAGTTTCCCAGTATTTCGTAATCCTATTAATTCAACCGAGGCCATTATCCTCAATCCATCTGCAATGGGGATCTGGGCAGAGGCCATAGTAAGTCAAGTCAAAGCTCAATGGCTTTGTTGAAAATGAGCTGATAGGCCTGAATTGGTCAGTTGAAACCCAAGCCCGGGGTTGATCTCCATCATCCACCATCATCGCTTCGATACCAAAAAATCAAAAACCACAACAATCGTCGTGACTCACCCAGACCTCCGACAAACAACAGAGAACATTCTCCAAACCCAATCTTCTCAACAAGAAATGACACTACCCTAGATGAATACCTTGATTTTTGTCATTTTCCACGTGACCGCTGGTTCAAAGCACTTCAGGACTTTTGCAATGAACAATATGTCAAAAACTACCAAATCTTCACAACCAATCTTGTTGTCAACTCACTTGTAAACGATTATCACTTTCCAGTTGGACTCGTTGCCAGTCTTCGCGAGAACGTCCCACGTTTCACTGCACACCTCCGTGCAAATCCAAGAAGACAAACTTCTGCAAGAGGTCAATCTGAGGATGAAGATCACAAATAGAACATCAAATTGATCCGACTTTACCTTGACTCCTCAAATACACACTCATGTTATACAAAAGAAATTGTCAACTTGATTCTATACATGTATCCCTGCTCAAATTCCAAAAATTTTGTGTTTTTTATCTCCATTCCTCCATGACCGATTGCCTCAGAATCACTCAAATATTAGTCTGATATCCATTTGCTTAGTTGAATCACTTTATTGCTGCCAAGAACCTGGTCTGATATCCATCTTCTCAGAAAATGAATCAATTGATTGCTTTCAAGACCCAACCAATTTCTAAAAATTAAAAGCTAAAACAATTGAATTTGGAATGCAAAAATTCAAAACAAAGAGATCTTTGAGTGGAAAAAAACTAGACAACATAGCCACTCCCAATATATTCTTGTTGACATAATTTAGCATCCATGACAGCTGCAAAAGTATGATATAGAAAAGAAACTTTGTCTTCAGCCATAGCTAAACCATTAGTGCGGCGGAGATGATTTTTCAAGACCAAAAAACACATCTCAATGGGGTTCAGCTCAGGCCAGTAGGGAGGCAAATATATCAATTGGACCCCTATTCAACAGTTCAGAATTGTGAGCTTTTGATAGGCAAGAGAAAAAGATGACACAGATGAGGCACACCACGTTCAGTGCACAATTTCTGCACATTACCCCCATGGTGAACTGAGCAGTTATCGATAATCAAAACTGAATTACTGTCTGGAAAGTGATTCATCCTAGGCAGCTGGGAAGATGTTGATCGTCAGTAAAACATTTTTTATTCTTGGTCAGGTGCTACTCACCAGTGTGTGCTTCAAGAATGATTCAAAGTCGGGTTGCTTGAAAGATTTTTCTTTGATATCCAGACCAAGGACTCCATCTATGGAAATACCAGGAAGGACCGAATATCTCTTCGCATTAGAATGGTTGGTAGTTTGATTGCTCCTTTGGCCGTGGGGAGCACGCCCGTGGGTTCTCTAGCGAGGGCAGTAAGCTCTTGGAGCGTGAGTGAAAGGGAACAAAGTATGCTGATACTATGTGTAGTGTGACTCGCAGAGTCAGTGACTGCGAATGTGATGTATGTATATAAATCGTTAGATTTCCAGGAAGCATGAGGAGGAGCACCAAACAGTCACAAACAATACATCATTTTATATACAAGAGATTATTGGAAAGAGACAGAGAGCAGTCGAGTGAAGAAACAGGCACAGGATGAGTGAAATCAGCAGTAGTCTTTTGTTATATAAAATGAGAAAGGGAATGATATAAGGGAACTGAGGATGACATTGGTTGTTGAGGCTATGAGGTTTAGAGATCTGAGTAAATGAGGTGGTCAGCGCGAGGAGAAAGAGAACAGTTAGGATGGTCCTGAGTATGTGATTCACACCGGAGTTGTGACAGCCCCCCTTGCTCAGGATTATTCGGATAATTCGTGGATAGAAATGTTGTTGAATATTTTTCGGCAGCGATCGATAACAATTTTTCCAGCATTTTTGGTGAGCATATCGGCAGGCATGGATTTGGTGTCGATTTGTTTAGTTTGTATTTTCTTGTTTTTGACGAGTTCTCGGATGAAATGGTACCTGATGTCGATGTGTTTAGAGCGTTGGTTTATCGCGGATTCTTGAGATAGAAAAACAGCTCCATTGTTGTCGTTGAAGATATCCATTTGGGTGATAACGTCAGTCGGTTGTACTTGTTCTTGCATTATGTACGCGATCATGCGTCTCGTCCACAGTATGTGTTTGGCGGCATCGGAAATAGCCATATACTCGGCCTCGGTGGTGGATAGCGCAACCGTGCGTTGTCTTTTGCTCTTCCAGGAAACGAGACAACCACGCCACATAATTCCGTGTCCGGTGGTGGATCGACGAGTGATGGCGCAAGAGTCGTAGTCAGCATCGGTGTACGCAGTGAGAGTTGAAGCCGGGGAATCAATGGTCTTTCGAAAAATTATACCGCGGTCCAATGTTCCTTTGACGTAGCGGAGGAGATGTTTGACCGCAGTCCAATGGGTTCGATCGTAGCACGCTGAGAACCTAGCGAGATAGTTAACCGCGTATTGAATGTCGGGTCGGGTGCATATGGCCGCGTATGATAAGCATCCGATTGCTTGTTGGAATGGAAGGGAAGTGTCCGTTGTACTGGCTTTTTCAAGGGCGATATTATTGGGGAGTGGAGTGGAGTTAGAGTTGGAATTCTCCATGTCGAAGCGTTTCAAGACATCTTTGAGATAGTGTTCTTGGGATATCATGATGGTGTGGTTTGGTCGGTCGCGAGTGATTTTTATGCCGAGATGGAGAGAGGGGTTTTCATTCCATTTCAATGTGTAGCATTTCATGAAACTTTCTTTGAAATCAGCGATCATAGACTTCGAGTTTGAGAACACTAAACCGTTGTCCACGTGCATGTGAATGAATATGAAATTGGGTCCATCTCGGCGGACGTAGAGAGAATCGTCGTCGAAATTGTTGACAAACTTAAGTTTTCCAAGTTTCTCTTTCAAGTCCGTGTTGAATTGTCTGTGGGCCTGTCGTGTACCGTATAATGATTGGTCAAGACGGATTACTCGATTTGGATAAGAAGGATCTTCAAACCCAGTTACCTGTTGTATGTACACTGAATGTTCCATACGTCCATTCAAGAACGCCGTTGCAATATCGAATTGCTCCATCTCAAGATCTTCGTTCGCGGCGAGGGCGAATAACAAGCGGAGAGTGTCTGAAATACCGACGGAAGCATAAGTTTGATCAAAATCAATCCCGGGGATTTGGTGGTTGCCGAAAGCCACCCATCTGGCTTTGTATTTAATGACTTCGCCGAATTGGTCTCGTTTTATTTTTAATCGCCACATACCTCCTATTTGATGAGCAAGAGGCGGGAGTTCAACGAGTTGTCCAAGGTTGTGCTGCACAAGTGAGTTGAATTCATCTTGCATGGCAGCAATCCAGTGTTCTCGATCGGCTGAGGCCATGGCCTGTCGGTAAGTTGGTTCGTCCGGGTTTGTTTGAGACATGTGTGCGACAGGATTGCCGTAGTATTGTGGTCTGCCGCAGTTTCTAGATGGTCGAGATATAGTGGTAGATGGAGAGGAAGTATTGGTTTGTTGGGGAAATGGGTGATGGTGCGAGTTGTGATTGAGCGAAGATGACGAGTTGTTTTCTGTGTCGGTCCTTTGTTCGTTGTTTTGAGTATGAATGGGCTTCTGCACAGCATCAGCTTGATTGAGTAAGCCTTCGCTCACAGCAAAGTCAAATGAGTCATATGAGCTTTCACAGGATTCTTTTGTGAAAGGGAATAATTTTTCATCAAAGGTAACATTTCGAGAGACAATGACTTTCTTGGATGAGGGGTCTAGTAGTCGGTAGCCCTTAGAAATGTGATCGTACCCAATTAGGATGAAATCATTGGCTTTAGGAGAGATTTTATCAGTGTGTTCTTTCTTTATTTGAGTATATGCTCTACATCCTATTGTTCGAAGAAATGAATAGTCAAATGTGTGATGTGATCCAGTTGGATCACTGTATGAAGACCATAATCGGTGGGGAGTATCAGATTTGATAGATGCAGATGGAGCTATGTTGATAAGTAGAGAGGATGCCATAGCGATTTCCCCCCATAGCCACTTGGGTAGTTTACCGGCGCTCATAATAGCTATGATCTTTTGTAGCAATGTCTTGTTGAATCGCTCCGCAACACCATTTTGCTGAGGCGTGTTTGCAGGGGCTTGCTCAACTGTAATTCCCTTGGATTTCAGAAAGGTATGGAAACAGTTTGAGTTGTATTCCCCTCCACGGTCAGTGTGGAGTATAGTAACGCGATGTTGAGAACTAGACATGAGATTTTCTACAGTGGAAACATATTCTTTGAAGCAAGACAGAGTATCGGATTTCTTTTTGAGAAGATATATCTTATTGTATCTTGTATGACAATCAATGAATGTGAGAATATAGCGGAATCCCGAGTTGGTAGGAACAGGCATGGGACCTAATATGTCAGAGTATATTCGGTACAATGGTCGTGATGAAATAGGGAGAGAAGATTTAAAAGGGGAGCGTTGTATTTTCCCTTTTACACAGTGTTCACAAATATTGGAGCCGTTGGGGAGTTTATCTCCATCCACAGGGTACAATCGATGGGCACCTGTTGATGGGTGACCAAACCGTGCGTGCCATATGTTAGTGCACAATCCAGCAAAGTATGAAGGGGGAGGTTTGAAGACACTAACCGTCCAAAGATCGTTGCCTCGAGTTACGGATTTGATGTGTACATCTTCATTCTTGAATTCTATGATCATCGTGTTGTTTTCGAATCTGACGTTGGCGCCAGAGTTGATGATTTGCTTGATCGAGAGTAGGTTCGCGGCAAGATCTGGGCAGTAAAACACGTTTGGGAGATCAATGTAGACACGTTGGTCGCGATTGTTGAGAGCCATTACTCGAACACTTCCTTTGATGTTGACTTTGACACGAGTATCGGACTTGGCGGTGTTGATTAATTTGGGCTCGCATTCAATGGGATCGATGAGCATGTTGTAGTCGTTCACCAAGTGGATACTGGCACCTGAGTCAGCAATAAATTCGCCAGCGAAGGAATAGTAATCAATGGTAGGATTGTGTACGATGACATAGGCGTTCTCAATCAATGACATCGCGGATTCTGGGGTATCTTCCGGAGGAGCTGGTTGGTCGACAGTCGCTATGTTAGCAGATGGGAGTCTGGTTTTTGATCCTGAGGTGTTGTTTCCACTCGATTTTTGAGCGTTGCATTCTGCATTAGTGTGGGATCCGAATTTGTGAATCGTGCATCGATCAGCGTTGTTGATTCGTGGACGTTGCGTTTGTTTTGCTTTCTTGAATCCATACATAGCGGTTTCCTTTGCATTCGAGCTCTTGACCATAGCTGCCTCAGAATTTAAACGGTTGATCACTTGTTTAACAGTGATTTCTTGCGATGAAAACAAAGATTGGATGATGTGTCTGAATTCGTCAAGAGGGAGATTTATCACCATAAAAATCGCCAGTACATTGTCGGGTAATTGGAAAGCTTCGTTTCCTTGAGTCATATTGTTAAGTCGGTTGTGCAACGCGCGGATTTGGGCAATGTAATCGTCGAGTGAAGCAGTGTCCTCGTATCTAAGGTGAACTATATCGGCGATGGTGCTAGCTATCATGAAGGCATCATTACTGCCGTGCTTTTCTTCGAGGGCCTTGAATGCCCAGTAGGGATCATCGAAGTGGATTATTGCAGAACGGTTTTCTTTGTTGACAGTTAAACGGATGGCTTGCAGTACCTGCGCACGCTCTTGGACGAATGTATCGGCTTCGGCTTCATCCTCAGGTCTTGCAACTTCTCGGTCGATGAATTTGAGTTTTCCCATGGCGGTGAGGTGCCCGGTGATTGTCTTTTTCCATTCGAAGAAGTTAGTATCCTCCAGTTTCGGGATAAGATTTATGGATGGGTTGAGAGGGTTGAGAGAGTTGTTGGCCATATCGGATATTTTTGAATTTAAATCAGGTCGATTCGAGCGTTGACTAGTTCTTGGCAATTTCTGAGTTGTCGTTCAAGGTTGTAGATTCTCAGAGTGAGAGTGGTAAATAATTCCCGGAGGAGGATGTATAGCGTGACAAAAGCAATAAGAAATATGATTCGTAGGCTGTAAGTGAAGATTGCAGCTGGGCTCATAACCTCTAGCGAGGGCAGTAAGCTCTTGGAGCGTGAGTGAAAGGGAACAAAGTATGCTGATACTATGTGTAGTGTGACTCGCAGAGTCAGTGACTGCGAATGTGATGTATGTATATAAATCGTTAGATTTCCAGGAAGCATGAGGAGGAGCACCAAACAGTCACAAACAATACATCATTTTATATACAAGAGATTATTGGAAAGAGACAGAGAGCAGTCGAGTGAAGAAACAGGCACAGGATGAGTGAAATCAGCAGTAGTCTTTTGTTATATAAAATGAGAAAGGGAATGATATAAGGGAACTGAGGATGACATTGGTTGTTGAGGCTATGAGGTTGAGAGATCTGAGTAAATGAGGTGGTCAGCGCGAGGAGAAAGAGAACAGTTAGGATGGTCCTGAGTATGTGATTCACACCGGAGTTGTGACAGGTTCGCACAAGGCTTTGTTCACAGATTGAAGTTTCATCTGTTTTGAGTCGATGTCAGTACAAAGATGTACTTCCATTGAGAAAGGAACTGACCTGCAAATACAAGAAAATGTGCTGGTAATCCTACCACTTCAGCAACATAACTGGCCATTCGGATGTCTGAACGATTCACATTCACGGAGTGATTGCGTTTCAAGCTGATTTGCATTCTCTTTCGGAGTGTTTGGTCGATGGTTGAAATTCAAGTGAGAATCTCATGCTGCTCATACAGCCATTCTTGAATCTCATCGAGGTATGCGGTCGGGTTTTCTTGGAGGTGCTCCTGGAGACTGTCTTGAACATCTTCTGGGATCTTCAAATTTGGTCCAAATGGTTGGTACTCGTCAGGGTCTCGGATAACACAGCCGGTCCTTTCAAAAACTTCAGCCCATCGGTATATCGAACTTAGGGAGAAGTTGATGTGGAGGGTTTTCTTGATATCGTCAAGCCATCTTCTGCTTCCAGAACTCCACAGCAAGTAGTTTGACGTAAGGGTTGATGTAGCGACGTGGCATGGCTTCCTGTTGACTTGTTCTGACCGGATGTTGATACGGCAGTCTGATTCATCAGGGACACAAGCATCAAGGGCCCTGATGGGCCCCGATATCTGCCATTAGTACAACTTTGTGTTGTCTATCTGCAAAACTTAATTCAAACTCCACACTATTTTAGTGGGGATTTTCCAAAATTGGTGAGACCGATTCTCATTCCATTTTGGAACGACTGTATGCTAACAGTTAGTGTAACTTTTTGATAAGTTACGCTAACAGTTAGTGTAACTGAGGGGATCACTACGCTAACAGTTGGTGTAACTTATCAAAAAGTTACACTAACAGTTAGTGTAACTTTTTAGCCCACTAACCACGCTAAAATTCCACTAACAAGGGATTTGGTTAGTGTTAGTTGTTGTTTTTTTAGTCAGCTAACACTACGCTAAAGTTTTTTTTTGTTTTTTCAGAAATCCTGTAGTGTTAGTGGGCCAAATTTTTTGCTAACAGTAACTTTTGTGTAGCGTAGCTTAAAAAGCTAACACTACGGTTAGCGTAACTGGCCCACCGTTGCATGTACCTCGTCTACCGGAGGGCTCCTCAGTCAACAAGGTACATGTACCTTGTCGACTGGAAGGATTTCCTTCCAGCCGGCAAGGTACATGTACCTTGACGGATGGAAGGAAACCCTTCCAGCCGGCCATCTACCCTTCTGGCCTCGGGTATCCTCTGGGATACCCGGATACCCGCCAGTGTTTTGCGGAAAAGGGGCCATCCGCACCCGCTGGCGCTGGCAGGTATCCGCCAGGGGATAGCGGGTATCCGCAACGGATACCCTTTGACCATCTCTAAAAATGACACACTTGATGTACCAAATTGAAACTACAGCAAGAAGCACTGCATTTTTTATCTCTGGTTGTATTTGTACAAGTTACCTGGTAAGCATTTAATGTACAGGATAGATACAAAATCTGGTGTGTAGTTGGAAGTCCAACTGCAGACTTTTCCCATCAAAAACAAACACTTTAAGAAAGGTGAGGTAATGCTAACTCATCCCCGCAAAAAAAAACACTTGGAATACAAAAGGTGAGGGATGGTAAAAGGCTGGAGCAGTAGGATGTCTGTCCGGAGTTAGCATCCAGATCTCCAGTACCATTATGGGGTTCATAAATACTTATCTAAGTTTTATTCTTTCACAATTGACCACTTGCAAGAGGCAATAAAAATACTTGTATTATTATAAACTTTGGGAAAAGAAAGGTCAAAGTCATCTTTATAAACTTGACAGGCGTTTGGAATAAAGATACAGGGATGCTTCAATGCTGAATTTCTCATCAAGAGTAAAACATTATTCTATGCATCTCAATGAAACATAGCAAGCACCAACACATGATAGCTTTCTGTGGAGTGGGACTCTTCACTTGACAGTAGAGAAGGTAAAGATAGATCCTGCTATGGTGTCAATTCCCACATCATCCTATTCCACTTATCTTGTCCGGATTTAGAATCCAGATCTCCAGTACCATTATGGAGTACAGAAATAATTATCTGGGTTTCATTTTTTCACAATTTACAACCACTTGCAAGAGGAAAGAAAAATACTTGTATTATTATAACCTTTGGGAAAAGCAAGGTCAAAGTCATCTTTATAAACTTGAAAGGCGTTTGGAATAAAGATACAGGATGTTTCAAGGCTAAATGTCTCATCAAGAGTAAAACATTATTCTATACATCTCAATGAAACATACCAAGCACCAAGAAATCATAGCTTTCCTGGTGGAGGCGGGGACTCTTCTCACTTGGACAGTAGAGACAGTTTAAAGTATAGATATCCCTGCTATTGGGTATTTCAACTTTCCCCCCCATCCTATTCCACTCATCTTCATCAGCGTTAGCATTATCATTATCATCATCTTCCCAGTTTCCTACTAGAAATCTCAACCAGATAAGCCATCTGCAGTCATGCTTCTCACTAAGGTCTTAGTTTCCTTACAACTCTTACATAGTCTTTCAGCACAACCAATTCCATCATCAAAACTTCTGGTCAAGAGAGCACCAGTTGGGGGCAAACATATTGGTAGTCCAATTGATCCCTCCATGATTGATGAAGAGGGACTTGCAGCACTTAATTTAGGTTGTATGTTCCTGTTTTTGTTTGGTCTAGTTCTCATATGGAAGATCAGTGTTAAAATTGCCCATTTTCTGCATTCTGGTGATGATATTTGATGATGTTTGTTCTTTAGCTTCTAGAGAGGCTGAAGAAGCAAATGGTATGTCAAAAAATCTCTGCACAACATCTGTTCCCAATGGCAGATATAGGATCTGTTTCTTTTTGTGATTTGGGCATGCTGATCAAAGTTATTGATCCTTGTTATCTCAGCCACAGAAAAAATTGAGCCTGTTCATGAAAAGGGATCTCACAGCAAGGAAGTAGAGGATCTTGCCTCTTCAAGTGGTGAGTGAGATTAGTTTAATCTTTGTCTCTGGAATTGAAGACAAATTTGCATTTACTGATCAATCTCTTTTCTCCTAGTATCTCATGAAAAAAAGAAAGGAAAGGTCAATCCAGAAATTTTGAAAAAAGCTAACTTGTTATCATCAATAGATTTAGAGGAATTGAGGAAATTCTTCACTGGTAAATCACTTGAAGAATTTGATGATGTGTATTCAAGTGGTTAGTCACTTTAGTTTCAATCACTCTTACCAATCAATTCAATCAAATTTGTGTATTCTAAAGTTTTTTGTCTTGAATTTATTGTCACAAAAACTTCAGAAATTGGCCCAATGCAACACACTTCAATTGGAAAATCTCCTAGAGAATTGTCCCATGAAAAATTAAGGTTTCATTTTTAAAGCTGAAAAAGTATTTCAAGGACTTTCTTGATGCTAGAAAAGTAGATGGACAAACTTCAAGAACGATTTACTCTGATGAGATTATTGAAAGCCTATTTGATGTTTGGACTTATATTGTAATTGGATCAGAAAATCTGAAGAAAGAGAATTTTGACATTTCAAAATTGAGTCAATTTCAGAGCAAAATGTTATCTGAAATCAATGAAGCCACAAGTGTTCAAGGCAGGAATCCAATCAATACCTTCACAAGATGTCAAAATTTAATGGATAAACTTGATGAAGAACAGAAGTTTTTTCTTTGGGCGATAGCGTTTGTGGACTCGCAAGATGATCTCTCTAGACATGAAATTAAAAGTCTGTATGATCTGTTGGCTGGAAGTTTCAAAAATCCAGAAATGAATGAAGAGGTGTTGGAGGCCATTGAACTTATCAATCTTCAATTCAAAAGGTCTGTGGTAGAGTTATTTAATATCCGGAAATGTGACTTGGAATATCTCAGGAAGGCTCAAGATTAAGAAATTCTGAATTTCACCCTTGGATTTGATTCTAGACATCTTGATAAAGATCCAGAATGATCTTCTTTTCCACTATTCCATTGAATTCTTTTTTTCTTCAACTTCAATACAACCAGGCAAAAAAATCAGCACTCTAAACTATATACTATTATGAGTCTCTCAAATCATTTCTCACTAAATCTGCTTCTTGTAAAAGCTTTAATTTGTGATATGATTACTCATATATTTTCATCTTTAATTTTTTTTTTTGGATGCATGGTTGAATTCTCTGTTCTCATGGTATGATTTGGGTTGTTGATCTTGATTTTTTCTTCTTCTTTTTCATATTGTTTGATCAATTTTTTTAAAAAACAAAAAACAATTAAATTTCACCTTTTCATAGTTTTTACCCTGCATAAACTAACTTTTCAGACAAGCCAGTCTGACAAGTCTTTGGACAGACTTTGTCCAACCAGTTCAGCAGCCCAGTGGTGGCACACAACAGGACTCGTTGAGCAACATCAGTCCAAGCACTCATTGGACTGGCTTGTCTGATGAGTAAATTTGTGCAGTGTTAGGGTGCACCAGGAGAAAAGAATGCTCACCAGATGACAGTTGAAATTATTTAGCATTGATCACAACTCAATTGTAGCTCCATTGCTACTGCAAACCAACTACCATGGCCCCTTTGTGTGCTAGAGGGGGCTGAACTAGAGTTGGCCTGGGTATAGCATGGGTAGCATGCTGAACTTATAAGCCTGATTTCACCTGTCAACAAGTGAGCATTGTTTTTTTTCCTGGTGGTAAAGAATAAGCCAGGGGTCATAAACCAGGACAATGGAAAGATGTTATTTCTCAATGAGGGACCAATGATAATCAAGTAATTGGATGACTTCCCGTCAACATCTGCGGGTCTCCCAGTTTTGATTTAGAGCCTCAAAAGCTAGATTTCCCTGTGAAAATCTAGACTTTTTGGGTCTAAATTGCAAACTGAAAGGGTCCCTGCAGGTCTGACAGAAGTCCTCCATTTGAGCACATGGTGTAATATCTATCCTCTGAGCTTGCCTACTTCTCAAACTGGGCCTGGAACTTGTGAGTCATGAGTTGAAAAAAGAAAAGTGCTGCCTCTTATTCATGGCTAAGATCATGCATGGATAAAATGATGAAGAGGTATACTGTTACTTGTGTTGTAGTCTCAGCATCAAGTTTTGGGAGATAGAGGATCGGATGAACTGAGTGGTAGCTTAGTGGAATCACATTGTGCCTGGCTTGATTCAAAGTAGACCTATGTGATATGTATTCTGAGAAAGAATAGAAAGAATTGAAAACTTAATTGGAGTTGTATTACATTTTTTCTTTGAGTTTAAATTATGTTCCTGTATATTGGAGTCAGAAGAACTCATGCACTCATACAGCTTCTTTTTGTATTGTCTGAGAGGATTTTCTTATCAAATTCAGTTGATTGTGCTGCCAGTTGATTGGTCAAATATCAAGAAATAATATGTTTGATTGTGGTGTGATTGAGCAAATAGAAAAAAAAAACATGAGGCTGTTGTACATATAAGATATCAGAAGCATTGGATGGAGCAATGCTGGGCCACTACGCTAAACAGCCCACTAATGTTAGTGTAGCGGCCCTCAAAACAGCACACCAAACCTGTAGTGTTAGCACGCTGTTAGTGCCACTACACTATGCTACGCCGTGCTACAGCGCTTTGAGCCACAAAAACGGCCCAAAAACTGCTACACTACACTGTGGCACAGCGTAGTGGGCCTTTTTTTGCGGCCCACATGCGTAGTGTTAGCACAGATTTGCGTATCTGCACTGACACTATGCTACAATGTAGCGTATTTTTGCTACACTACGCTGGGCTAACACTATGGTTAGCGTAGCTGGCCCAGTGTTGGGTGGAGCTCCCTAAATAAAATTGGACACCTTAATGTTCAATCTACTGTGAGGTGATACCTGATTAGATCCTAAGAACATAGTACAGGGAATTCAAAAGGGTTGTAGATGCTTGACTAGCTATGTGGGCAAAACCAAGATGCAGAGATATGTATGTTGATGAGTTCCTGCCCTGTGGCGCTTGATTGCCGGGCGAGGTGAAGTTTTATGTAGCTGACCAACAAGTTCGGGTGTTTGTTCTGTTTGAGACTGAGTTCTGCCATTTCCGATCGAGACGCTGGGGAAGGGGGGGCTTGGGTTGATCGTAGTGGGTCAAGCCATGTATCCACGCGGTTGCCAGACCCCCGCTGGAGCTCAGCCCTTCCTCTCCTTCCTTCCTTCCTCCTCTTCCTACTTCCAACTTCCAGCCCAGAACCAAAAAAAAAAAAAACAACAACAACCTACTCACACGAAATCGAAAACATACATCCGAACACACTCCTAAATCAATCCCAAGAACAAAAAGAACAAGAACAGATGGCCGAACACGCAGAAGATCTCATTGGTTTGTCCTCACATCATATTCTCACACCCACCCACCCAAACACACACACACACACACACATACAAACACAAACACCCAAACACCAACCCACAAACTATCATCGTCTTCTCGGGTTCAACTCAACCGATTGAACCTCTCTCGTCTCCAACCATCCTCTCACCTCTCATGCCCATCATCTCGCTCCCCCTGCTTCATATCCAGACTACGACGAGGACGATGCCGGCGTCGCCCCCTCTGCTGCCGTCACATCCACCACTAATGGCGCTGCCGCCCCGCTAAATGGAAAAGACCAGAAGGGCTCCTACGTCGGTATCCATTCGTAAGTTAATTTTCAAAAAAAAAAAAAATCATAATTGGTCGACCCTTCCTCATCGATCGTTTGCTTTCCCCTGTCATCCATCAGCACCGGGTTCCGCGATTTCTTGTTGAAACCCGAGCTATTGAGAGCGATCAGTGATCTCGGTTTCGAACACCCTTCCGAAGGTAAACAAAAAGAAACACAAACCAAATCATACCATTCCGAATGTCGTATGAAGAAAAAAAACGACATATTTAGACTGATTATCCATCCACTTTTGATCGAACCAAATCCAACCCGAATCTCACCCAGTCCAACAGGAATGTATTCCGCAAGCGATTCTAGGGATGGATGTATTATGTCAAGCCAAGTCAGGAATGGGTAAGACTGCGGTATTTGTGACAGCGACGCTGCAACAGATGGACCCGAAGGAAGGCGAGGTGTCGATGTTGGTGCTATGTCATACGCGTGAATTGGCCTATCAGATCAAGAACGAGTACGCCCGGTTCAGCAAGTACATGCCCGACATCAGGACGGCGGTGGTCTATGGTGGGATCCCGATCAAACAGGATGCCGAGATGCTCAAGGCCAAGGACAAATGTCCCCATATCCTCGTCGGCACGCCTGGCCGTTTGAACGCCCTCGTACGCGACGGCTTGTTGAAGTGCAACACCGTCAGAACTTTCGTCCTCGATGAATGTGATAAGATGCTTGAATCCGTCGGTCAGTACCCTCTCCGACTCTCTTCCGCTCTGCTAGCCCTTCTATCTCTTGCCGTCTCCCAGATAGATTTCTACTCAATCGCTCCTCAATCCAAGTCGATCTCGATCGTCAACTGCCCAGTCTTCTTCTCTTTTGTGTTCAAGAATGGTCTATAACCACCATCAAAATAATTGAAGAGAGGGGAATGACACGAAGTATCGCGCTTGGACTTTTTTCCATTCACTCATCATCCATCTCCACCTCCTTTTTTCTGTCCAAAAATCTTTGCATCCCTCTTGCCCCTCAACGGACCCAAAACAGATATGCGTCGGGACGTTCAACAAGTCTTCTTGGCCACTCCCCATGCCAAACAAGTGATGATGTTCAGTGCTACATTGAGCAAAGAGATCCGCCCGGTCTGTAAAAAGTTCATGCAGAACGTACGTCTCTCTCCGTCCCCATCCTCTATCGACCATTCTTTTATATACATATTTATAACCATGTGTCTATATGGGACGTCGTTTTTTTTTTAGCCGCTGGAGATATATGTTGATGATGAGGCCAAACTGACCCTCCATGGGCTTCAACAACACTTCGTCAAGATCGACGAAGCTGCCAAGAACCGCAAACTGAACGATTTATTAGACACTCTTGAGTTCAACCAAGTCTGTCTCTATACACCACTCTTCCCTTTGTTTCGATCCTCTCCCACTTGTTTCTTTGAGAACTGATCAAAAGACGAAAAACAATGGGTAGGTTTGCATCTTTGTCAAGTCGGTCTCCAGGGCCGTCCAACTCGATCAGCTCTTGCGTGATTGTAACTTTCCCTCGATTGCCATTCATTCTGGATTGGGCCAAGAAGAACGTATCGATCGGTACAAACAGTTCAAGGCATTCGAGAAACGAATCTTGGTACATGGCTTTCGATTGTCATTTTTTTTTTCTTTGGTGGCTGATAGTGAGGTCGATTTTTGAAGGTTGCGACGGATATCTTCGGACGTGGGATCGATGTCGAACGAGTGAATATCGTGATCAATTACGATACTCCTGGAGAGGCTGATTCCTATCTCCATCGAGTAGGGTCAGTCCATTTCTTTCTTTCTTTCAAACATCAAGCGTATGACTTACCCGGGTGTTTTTTTTTCTGTTTGGGTTGGGATAGACGGGCCGGTCGGTTCGGGACGAAGGGATTGGCAATCACGTTTGTCTCGAGCGAGGCTGACCAAACGGTCTTGGACGCTATCCAATCGAGATTCGAGGTGGCAATCACCGAGCTACCTGATCACATCGAGGCTAGCTCCTACAGTACGTCCTTCTTTTTTTCTTTCTTTCGAACGATTTCCTTGTTCTGACTTGCGGGGTGTTGCTGTTGCCAATTCTAGTGAATGCTTGAGTTAGTTCTTTTGTGACTCTCTCAAAAAAAATACTCTCTATAATACATACATGCCTGTTCCTTCTTCTTGAGAACTCAACCTCTACCCTCTCCTGCCCTTCCTCTCTCTTTTTTTTCCTATACATATTGAAAAAAAAAGAAGAATACTCTCTGTCTCTCATAACAGTCCCCCCCCCACCCCCCACTCTCTCACATACATATATATATAGCTTCTCATTGTTTGGTTTTGGTTTGGTTCCTGAAGAGAAACGAAAAGAAATTGCAACGAAATCGCAAAGAGAAAAAAAAACAAAAAAACAAAAAAAACAATATATAAAGAGACAAAACAAAGAAAGTGTGTGGATGGATGGATGGATGGAAGGTTGTCTTGGTTGGTCGAGTATAAAAAACGGGTATCTGTTCTTGCTGGGATCTTTGTCTGACAATAAATAGATAAATAAGGTTTGGCGGTCCACAGGATCTGTGTCCTTGTAACTTCCTTTTCAATGCCCTCGAATTACGATGTTGTTGATTCTGGCATATAGTGCGAAAAAAGTGGTAGCTGCAGCTCTTTTTAAGGCAGCTGGCCTGAGGATGCAGCAAAATGCGACTGTTTTGCTGCACTAGTTGGGCACTGTTTTTAAGGTAGTCCATCTGTTACAATGTTGTCAAGATCCAGCCCTCATGTCTTGGATTGGAACCCTACCTTCACAGGAGCTCAGAAGTATACACTGAGTTTGGATGTTGGTCAACTCACAGCAATGGAGCACTTCCCATGCAAACCGTAGCGCTCACAGAAGTTGATCTAGGCCCAAAAAATCCTCATTCTCACAGAATTCGAGGCTCTACATCGGTTCTGGGGGACCCGCAGATGTTGACAGGAAGTCCACCAATATATGAAATGAACTATATCTAAGCTCCATTGAAGAAAATCTCAGCCAATACATTGAGAGAATGTACCGGAATTTTAGGTAGAAGTTAATTTGAGCTCTGGTTTCTAGGAAAATCAAGTAGATAAGGTACAGTAGTGGTCGGCTTCCCATTGGCTTTACTGGAGGACTTCCCGTGCAAACTGCAGCCCTCACAGAAGTCAATCTAGACCCAAAAAACTCTTGGCTCTTGCAGAGAAATTAGATTTTTGAGGCTCTAAAATTCTAAATTGGTTCTGGGGGACCTGCAGATGTTTCCAGGAAGTGGAGGACTTCCCATCAACATCTGCGGGTCTCCCAGAGTCAGTTTAGAGCCGCAAAATTCAAATTCCTCTGCAAGAATTAAGTAAGAGTTTTTGGGTCTAGATCGACTTCTGTGAGGGTCCCAGATCCAACGGGAAGTCCTCCAGTCCTCCACTAGACAACTTCCTGTCAGATCTGGGGCCCTCCCAGCTGCCAATCTAGACCCAATTTCTACATTCTTGCAGAGAAATTTGGTTTTCAAGGCTCTAAATTGGTTCTGGGAGACCCGTAGATTATGGCAGGAAGTCCTCCACTGGAGGACTTCCCATCAACATCTGCGGGTCTCCCAGAGCCGGTTTAGAACCTTGAAATTCAAATTTCTCTGCGAGAAATAAGAGATTTTGGGTCTAGATCGACTTCTGGGAGGGTCCCAGATCCGACGGGAAGTCCTCCACCGGATGGCTTCTCATCAATATCTGGGGCTATCCCACAAGCAATTTAAAGCTTCACAATCTAGATTAAGATTTTCCAGCAAAAGTCTAGACTTTTTGGGTCTAAATCAGCATCTGCAAGCATTGCAGATCCAACGGGAAGTCCTCCCTGTCACCAAATCATCATTCCAGCCAGCTCATATCTCTCAATGCCCTCCACTGCCTCTGTAAAGCTAGACTTACAGGCTGTAAGGCTAAATTTGGACTGTTATAACAGCTTTACAGGGGGCTGTAGAATCCAAGGCCAAAAGTCCTCCAATGGCCCTCTAGCAGCAACATAGGAGATTTTGTGCCAGAACATGTACATGTGTGTATTGACAACTTTTGAGAGTTTTCCTGTGTCTTTCATTAACATAAACATCCACCAGCCATTCAGTGGATCCACTCATTTTGTGTCACTTGGGACCATGAGTATATTTGGTCCGTTTACTCTCATAGCTGCATGATAATTGGGAAGCCGCACACCGGACAGCAAGTAAAACTCAACAACAAACAAAAACGTGATCAGATTGGGCAAGCTTGCCCCAGTTGTAGCATCAACGAAACTGGCTCAAGGTTTGAATGACCACGCCAGGAATACGAAGTGGAACGGCTTTACTTGATGCGGATGATCTCAAGAGGGAGTACAACTGGCATGGGCAGATACCTCCTGTTTTGGGACACCGGGGGTCCCCTTCAGCTCTAGGACATTCAACAGAGTGACGGCAATACATTTTGCGAGAGGTTGGACTACATTGGATTAAATGGAAGTCGATGGGAACTGGCAAGAAAGCTCGCGTGCAAGACCTTTGTAGCTTATGATAAGGGCATAATTTCTGGACGTAGATTGACGACGGGTTGAGATGGCATAAGAGCAAAGAAGACCGGGCTACGTAGAGGAACCCCCCGCAGATGAACCAAGGTGATCAACAATCGACTTCATTTCTCTACAACATTCTAACTTGAAACGGCTGAGAGGAATTGGGGACGAGTGAAGAGTTTAGAGGTTGAGTTTCGTTCGACGCCAGTGTCTGCGCTTGGCGTTGTAGGTGACTAGAAGCAGAAGGGCAAATTGAGATCAGCATCCATGAGAGTCTTGTTTGGCGAATCGAGTTGAGATAATTAGGAGCTGATGGTCAGGAGTGCGGGCCCACTTTTAGCATCGGTTTTCAATCGGCACCATTGAGGGATAGGCCTAGAGACGAAAGCACGGGGAAGATGCACATAAGTATCATGTAAGTATCATGGTTGGGAAGAAAGACCATGCAAGGATGAGTGAGAGCTGACCTGTTTTGAACCTGGGCCTTAGCAAGGCATCGTTTGACGCGGAAAGTCTTGTTCGATGACTACATATCAGAGCGAAAGAGCGAAATTGAGTTATCTGGGGTCAAGAGGTCTTGGAATCAGCCGGAGGTGCGAGCTTACCATTATAGCAGAGTTCTGGTGATGCTCGGTGCTGTCGTACTCGTCACAGGCCGGCCGAACGCTTGGCTGTGGAGAACGCTACCGGGTGAATGGGCGTGTCTCGAATCTCACAATGGTAGGGTTAGGTTTCGCCTGCGTCCGCGCACTCGAAAAGCGGCCGACACACAAGGCCTGCGCGGAAGCCCCCCTACCCCCCGGGATTCAACCAATCCCCGATCAGTTCTCCTTGGCAGAGCATGCCTCCCCAGCTCACTTCCCGGCGGGCGTTTCGCGCCAGCCAGGCGCTCCGAGGCGAGGGTCTTTGGGTTGATCATTTAGAAAACATACCTCAATGTGGCTGAGGATATCCCAGAAGGTCCTCAAAATTGTTCGCAGTTGGGTCTAGGCAGACGCTGAAGTAATCTAAAAAAAACAGAGACTGGTGACTTGGAGTTTTATGTACTCATGGGATGACCTTCGGGCTCAAGGGAATAGAAAGCTGTCTTTGGGATCCGGAATCAATATCAAATATCCTCAGAAACAAGTCTCACACATGCCTCTCAAGTCAGATTCCAATGGGCAGTCACAAAATGTCTCTGTCTCATATAGAGAGACTTTTACCCAAACCTCAAGCTCTAGCAAACATGAGTTGATGTTTATGTTTAGATTGCTGGTGACTTGAAGATGAGAAGGTAAAATTTGCCAAGCAATTTTGAACTTGAAATAATGGATATGATTTGGGTTGTTGGAAAGGTGCACAATGTGAAACCACCAAAAAGTGATAAAGGGCCACTCAGGATCCACACCAAAAAATTGGCTTTGGGCAAAACACCTACCCCAAAATTGAAGCAATGCAGCAGTCAATTTTTCAATCAGGCTTAGATAGCACCCCACCATGGGGAGATGATTGCTTCCAAGTTGGTACATATCTCTGCAGGGCCAACATGGTGGCCAAAAAGTAGTTCTTTTTTTTAGTGAAATGAAGAATAGTGTGCTTAATAATGTATCTTTGGAGGGGTAATGTTTGGCTCAAGATAAAGATTTTCACATCAGAAGCTCCCATTAGCTGTTGAAAAATTCATATTCACACCCCCATTTACAAACCTCACAGAATTTGATTTGCACAGTCAAAGTCTTATTTTTTGGAAAAAAGAACTTTCTTCCGAAGCCTTGTAGTGAAGGCCCTCCTCATGTGACCTATTTGTGGTTGTGATTAGAGTGTTGATTTAGAACTGAGAGGTCTAAAAACACTCTAAACTACGACAGGAAGTTCTCCAGTAAATATCCTAACCATAATCAAAACTAAGATGGTGTGATCAAGTATTCTTCTATCTGATATTTAACTCATTGAATTGAAAGACAGAAAATCTGCAAGATTTGATGTCTTTTGAAAAAATGAAAAGAAAGTTTTTCTGATATTTTGTGGTTTTTCAAGAATGCATTACCAGTACATTTGTTGTAAAGATAAGAAATGAAGGGAGGAATGTATCTGTGATTCCTTCCTAACAGCAAGTAGATAAAAAAATTTCAATCTTTGAGAATTTGGTGATCATTAATATTTTAATTTTTCAATGGTTCTTGGGTGAGTATTCTAATTTCAACTTCATGAATTCTCCACATCTCAGAAAGTGTGTCCAATCTTTCCTTCAATTTTGGAGACAAGAATTCCTCATTGACCTTTCCATAAGTCTCTTGAAGACTTTTCCTTCTGGAATCTTCAAGTAATTGGCTCCTTGAACAATCAAATATGATATCATCCAAGACCTGAACAGAAAGGGGTGGTAGTTTTGTAAGCTTTGTGAAAATGTATTTTTTCCAAAATGAATAGTCAGATCTGTTCAATCTTCTTCTGCTGAAATTGTGTACTTTGTATAATTCTTGAAATTCTTCTTCTGGAATTTTCCCATATAGTGATTCTAATTTTTTTCCTGCATCCATGAAAATCAGATTCTTTTTTTCTTCATCTTCAATTCTCATGCAATAATCTTTTGATGATTAATTCAATGAGGTTAGAAGATATTAAGACTTGACAATTAATTTGAGGGCTATTCTCACTCACCAAGGCGATTGAAGAGTGGTACAGTTTTGAAAAGCTGGGTACCACATTTTAGTAAATTGATCAATCTCTCAGCATCCCTGAAGCTTATTTTGGAAAGATTTTCAACAATCTTGCCTTTGACCCAGCCCAATTTTGTTATGTGTTCCCTAATTATAATTGATTCATGTGGATGCATCAGTTGAAGTTCACATTTCACCATTGAGTCCCAAATTTCAGAACTGTGTTTTTGTTGGATTTCCTGCATGCTCAAGCTCCCTGATTTGAACTCCACCTCCATTTTGGCCACCAAAACTCTCAAACCTATGTATTTTCCTCTGAATTCATTTTCCAGAGCTTGATGGGCCTCAGATATTGTATTCAGCAATTGTTCTTGGTGGATTCTTTGTGATTGGCAATCTTTGCACATAAATTTGAGGAAAAAATCTTGAATGAAAAGAGGAAATTTGTGTACTTCCAGTTCAACATTCAGATTGTATTGGGTCACAGCTTCATTCTGTGTGTAAATTGGAAACAAGTGTTCAAAAACAAGGTATGCTTTATGAAGGGAGGACCAATCAGAGAGAGAATTTTTTCCAGAAGGGAGCGAGGTCAATTATATGAGAAATCATTTCTACTAAATAAATTCTATGCTCAAAAACTTGGACATACCTATCTCAATAAGTTGGGATTTTCGAACTCGTGGAATAGGATTGAATTGAGGGATTAATTTTCTTTGCCTCACATCTTGAAGGAACTCTTCCACATAGTGGATCACCAATGTACGACAGTACGATTGTACATGATGTCTTCAATAGCGGGTGAAATGTCTTCCCAAGAAATATCTGAATCACTAAGCAAATCTTCTAAGTGTGAGCCTTCATTTAATTTGGGCATAAGGAATTTAGGACCATTCATAACCATTTCAAAAAATTTGAATTCTTTATGAATTTTCAATCCAATTTCTGAGAGCAGCTTGAAATACTCAAATGAATTATCAAAAGGCCTTCCCTTACTAAAGTAGAAACAGATTTTCTTGAAATCATTCATGAAAGTGAGTCCATTCCTTCTTGCAACCACATCCAAATTCTTCCAAAATCTTGAGAATGTTTCTTCATTGATAGATGGTTCCTGAATCATCTGGGCAACAAAAATGACTGACAAAAAAAGTAGAATTTACATCAGCAACAGGAACACAAAGAAAAAACTATCTAGAAGGAAGGTACAACATTGATTTAATAAGGCTGCATGACTTTCTTGCAACCCTTCTGGTTTGATGGGCTCTTGTCTGTATGGCTCTGTGAGTTTGAGCATTTTTAGTACTCTTTGATAAAAGTCCTTCTTGTAGAAAATCTTCAAATTGCAAGTTTTGGAAAGCCTCTCTACCAGCAAATTTTCACCTTTGGGCCAATCAGACATGATTTTGAAATGTACCAAGGCATATGCTTGTGTTGGATACATTTGAATGAATTTTTGAAAACATGATCAGCAGGTTTAAAAATGTTCCAGCCCAAGAAGACATGATTTAACGCACCAATTGAGTCATACACAAGAGAAGATTTCCAGGCCATTGTAAGGGTGTGAAAATCAATTGCAAGGCTGACTGTTTCCTGATTGACATCCAATGAATAAATTTCCTTGTTTTTACACATGGATCTTGCCCAACCTTCCCAATCATTTTGAATCCTTGACCAACCAACAACACTTCCATCACACCACTTATGTAGAAGATCATATAATTCTTTTGCTTGAGATGAAGCTTTGGGAAATTCAGACTCCGTCGAGGTTCTGGTAAACCTACCAGTAACCATGTATTTTTCCCAAGTTTCTTCCAGGTCAATCCTCCCACAGCGAACAACTGAAGACAAGTCTAAAACTTTTTTCAATGAAATGGGATCATCAGTCCTTCAAACTCTGAATTATGTAGTCACCTTTCAAAATTGAAAGTGAATGGAAACTGGCCGCATACCTATCATGCCTGCTAACCGACTACAGCCATCTTTGTATCCATAAGATTATTAGCTCTCACTTCTTAACAACTCCGATTGTTCAAGAACAAGACTTGCCTTCAAGTTCTTGTAGATCCTTAGTTATCCCATCCAGGTGATGCTTCTTTTTTGCAGTCTCAGATGTATCTCTCCATTGAACTCCTTCGAATGCGGGATGACGATAAAAATCTTTGACTGAAAGTGAAATTCATTACACCAGTATTAAGTTTTATTATTCTTGTGGTAAATTTTCCCCATTTCCGCCAAATCAGCTATTGATCAGAGAGGGAACACCCGAAACTTACACACTTCCACTGGCTCAAATTCTGAGATTAGGCCTCCCCAACAGCCAGAAATGAGGGATAAGGCGGCTAACCATGAGCAAATTGTTGCGTATCTTAGCATGATTTTTCAAGATTAATGTGAGGAAAAGGAAGGATCAGGTTGATTCCAGGACTCCCAAATGGAATTGATATGAAACGTCTAGCGTTGACTAGTTTTGAATAGACACCCGGCGGATGTGGCCAGCATGCACTTTGAACCAGCGCCCTTTTAAGGTGAAAGTTTGTTGGCCAAGCACCTCTTTCAAACACTTGCCTCAGTGGGACTGCGTCCGATCATAGTTAAAGCTTATATCTATTGTGCCCATCAGGTGGAAATACGCCAATAGATACATGGCAGTACCTGACCCTGTTAATGCTCCAGCTCAAATAACTACGCCCTACTACGCCTTCTCGGAGGAGGTCTCCCAAACATCAGTCACAGTAAAAAACACATTAATGCAGCAATGATATATGTAACACTGGTTTGTGTCCATCATTTTCTCAGATATCAATATTCCAAAGAAAGACTAATATAATCCTCAACCATAGATACTGGGTGTGTTTTTAACTGCATGGAAAATGCAGTTGATTGTATTTCCTGAAGTCAGCTAGATAGGTTGACGAGGTGATTTTACCAGGTCAACATTTGAATGCGGTTTGGTCACACATGACGCAAAACATGTGTCGAGGTTGCGCAGCGCTCAACCTTACTTTACCAACATGTTTTTTGCCCGAGATGCTTGGGTCAGAAATGGGTTTTAGAAAGGAACTGAGAATCTAAAATTCCAAAGACCTCTCACAAGATTTATTTGCTGGCATCGGTTAGAGTTGGAGTGCTCTTTATCTCTGCTCCCCGTATAAACATCTCGATTTCATAATAGCAATTTGCGTGTCTGCTTGGCCCCAAAAAAACTCCATGTTTTTCAAAAAAAAAAAAGAAAAGAAAGAGAAAATATAAAAGCCGTCTTTCAAGATCTGGGAGGTAATGGAGTTGTGTGTATGGTTTCTGCAGGACTAAAACATGAGCCTCTTTTGATGAGGGAGTCATTTTAGACTGATAGAGTTCCTTTGGTACTTGGAACTTCATCGGATCCAGTTCTTTCTATGGCCTGCTTGAGGGCGAGTGCGAGTGCCTTAAAACTAGCCTCCGATCTACAAAAAAAAAGACAAATAATGTTAATTCCCTCGTTCCTTTGATGCCTAGAAAATAAAGGCCAATTCACTTGTGATGATCATTCTCGCCCTTGAGCACATCGACATGAAGTGTGATCTGAGCGCCCATTGCGAACGAGTAGAACACGTGGGGAATCATTTCACAAGAAAGCTTGCCGATCATCTCTCGTTTCAGTTTCAAATCAGTTGAGCAATACGGTCTGTTGGAAATATCGACAACAACTCTAGCTAGTGCCTATACAATAAATAAGATTGGAGAATTAAAATCGTCAGATATGAAATGCATACGCTGCGGAAGGGGTGGTAAATTTGACTTGTCTACCTCATCTAGAGGAGCGAACCCAGTCCCAAACCGACGAATACCCTTCAATCCTTCACCATTTTGACCGAACAAAGCTTGGTGAAACGCCTGCCCAAGTGCGATCGCAACGTCTTCAGTCGTGTGATGATCATCAATGAAAAGATCCCCTTTACAATTCAATCGAAGAGACATTCCTGAGTGTTTTGCAAGTGCGTCCAGCATCTAGGTTTCAGTTAAATTATTATACATTGCATGAACATTCTGAAAAAATCAAGCGATCTCAGATAACCGTGGAGGGGATTCAGATCAACCTATTAGCGCCATTCCGGCTACTTACATGATCCAGAAAGCCAATCCCAGTGTTGACGCTGATTTCTTGTTTGACACCGACTGGACAATCCAGTTGAAGCCATAAGTCGATATCAGTTTCTTTGGTGGTTCGTTTGAGGCTTGCTGATCGAATTTCTGGCATCTTGAAGCTGGACAGACTCTTTCCTGGACTTGGTATGTGAGATACGGTGGTGCGACTAAATTGTGAACGGGAGGACAGTTTGGGCGAAACAAATATTGGGAAAGTTGGCGGGGACTCGGGGACCTCGGTGGGTGCATGTCAGCAACCGCATCGATTGCATACTGAATACTTGTTTGTATTGCATAAAGCAGGGCCAAATCACACCAAAAGGGGTTCAGGGTCCACCTCAACAAAGAAATGGGCCACCGGGGTACATAGAGAAGCACAAATTTATCACTCGGTTGATATTTGAGGAAGGCAGGTTCGACTCAACAAACTTTTGACAGAAACTTTCACAGCCAAAATTTCATTGAAACTGTTTGTTAATTTAATGTGCATCATTACACAGCTCCACTCGGAGTTCACAATCTAAAAATTCCAGACATTTGATGTGTCACAACCGAGTATTTTATAAAGTGAGAGAGAAAACCTGGAGAACCTGGAAGTGATTGGAGATGAAAATTTTGAAATCAATAAAATTTGTTTCAAATTAGCTCCATAAAAACAATGGTTAATAAATCCTGAACGGTACAGAATTAAATGATTTCTAAATTGAATGCCTTAGAATCAATTTTGTATTTAATGAGAAAATTTGAGTCACTTCCAGGTTAAGAATCTTTGATACTTAACAGATTTTCTGGTGAGTTCAACACAATATTCCTATCAATATCCTGAATTTTCCAAAGTTCAGAAATGAATTCTAGCTTTCTCTTTGAATCCTCAGATAAGAGTTCCTCATTAATTTTTCCGTAAGTTTCTTCAAGACTTTCCCCTTCATAAAGTGTGAGTAAGTATTCCTTTGAACAATCAAATAATATGTCATCCAAAATCTTTGCAGAATGAAATGGCAATTTTGTAATTTTCAAAATAACTTGTTCTTTCCAAATTGAATAAGCTGATGGCTTGATCTTTTTCCTAGTTGATTCATAGATTTCCCATAAGACATTCCATTCTTCTGGAATCATTTTTTCCTTTAAAATCTTCAATTCTTTCCCAACATGGAGGAAAATACTTCTCTTTTCCTTCTCATCCTTGATCATCATGAAATAATCTTTTTTAGGAAAGATGTTTGAATCAATGAGCTGCTATCAATTTGAACTATTTAGGTTTTGGGAGAAGCTACTCACAAAGACGATTGACAATGAGTGAGTTTCTACGAAGCTGGTTTCCTTTTCCTATCAATTTAATCAGTTTCTCGGCATTGATCAAGCTAATGTAGTTAAGGTACTTTGTAAGTACTAAATCAAACTGTTTATGTTCAATTTTATGCTGATGGATTACTATTCTATCATGTGGAAGCATAAGTTGATTTTCACATTCTACCATTGCATCCCAAATTTCATTTGAGAATTTGATTTTTATTTCTTCCCTTTTGGAACTCCCTGATTCCAACTCTAGCTCCATCCTTGACAGTATTTGCTTAAATTCCATGTATTTCTTTCCAAATTGAAATTTGGAATTTCTCTGGAATGTTTTGATCATATTGGCTAATTGATTATTGTTAACCCTTTTGTCTCTGTAATCAGTTCCCAAAAACTTAAAAAAGAAACCTTGAATCAGAACAGGAAATTTGTTTCCTTCCAGTTCAACATTCAAGTTGTAGTTGGTCACAAATTCATTATCCTGGTAAATTGGCATCATGTAATCATAAGCAAGTTGTGCTTGTTAGGGTTATAGGCAAAGAAATAGTCATGAATTTTTAAAGAATGGAATTTGGTTAGTAGGATGATCAAGAGATCTCTTCAAAAATATTTAAAAACAGATTTTATGACATACCTATCTGGAGTAGTTGAGATTTGGTAACCCGTGGCCTGGGATAAAAATTTTCTAAAGAGTTCTTTGATTTATTCACTTCTTTCAATAACTCTTCTACATAGTGCAATGAAAATTGAAATTTGTGAAATACTAAGTCTTGGCCATCTGTTACATCCTTGAAGAGAGTATGGTAAAAATGTGAGGTATTTTTTTTGCTTGCCAAGACTTCATCTTTTGGGATTTTATTAGCACCAGTTGAGAGAGGCTTGAGCCTTTCACTTTCAAACTCTTTATGAATATTCAAACCAATTTTGGATAGAAGATTGTAATACTCAAATGACATGTCAAAGGGTCTTCCATTACTAAAGTAGCCCCAAATTTCCTTGAAGTCGTTTGCTAAATTTTCAATTCCAATTTCACTTGAAAATAATTCCAAACTTGTCCAAAATCTTGAGAAATATTCTTCATTAATAGATGGTTGTCTAAGCATCTGAGAAACAAAGATGACTATGATACAAAAAGCCCAAATAACAAATCATATCAGCCAACTGCCAGATGGAAAAAAAAATATCAAATGAAGAACAAACTGTAAGCACCAACAATCATTTAGAACATGCATCTGATATTCCAATACTCCACCACATCTTATAGGCTCCTCTCTATATGGCATTGTCACTTGGAGCATCTTCATCACTTTGTGGAAACCATCAAATTTTGAGAGAGTCTTTGGATTGCAGTTTTTAGAAAGCTTGTCTATTAATTTGTTGCTAACTCTAGGCCAAGCAGAAACAATCTTGAAATGAGCCAGTGCATAGGCTTTTGAAAGGGTTTGATGATATTTGAAAAATTCAAAATCAGCTAGGAAAGAAAGGCTTAAAATGATCTATTAAAAAGCTCAAGTCAAACTTACCAATGGAGTCGTAAACAAAAGAGGATCTCCAGGCCATTGAGAAGGTGTGAAAATCAATTGCTAGGCTGACTGTCTCCTGATTAACCTTCAAAGTTTGAAGTTCCTTGCTTTTGATAACAGAAATCTCCCAACCTTTGGGATCACTTGATAGCCTTGACCAACCAATCACACTCCCGTTGCACCAGCTGTGTAGAAGCTGTCTGACCTTCTTTTCTTGAAGCGAAGCTTTAGCAAATTTAGAATCCGTTGATGTTCTACTAAACCTGCTAGCAACCATGTATTTTTCCCACGATTCGTCAAGTTGGATCCTTCCTCCGCGAACAACTTTGGCCAAGTCTTTGACTTTTATTGACAAATTGGGATAAGAATTTCCTCAGATTTGGTATCAGCCAACTTCGGATATTGAAAGTGACTGACACTGGGTACATACCTATCATGGTTGATAACCGACTTGAACCATCTATGTATGTTGCTGTTTTTATAAGTATCCACCTCTTTTCAATTTCAATCATTCAGAAAATAGACTTGCCATCAATTTCCTGCAGAACCTGGGTTATTTTATCAACATGATGCTTCTTTTTTGGTGTATCAGATCGAGGTCCCCAGTCGACTCCTTCAAATGCCGGATGACGGTAGACGTCTTTGACTGGAAGAGAAATTAGTAGAAATTTGAATTCTTCAAATTCAATTTGGAAATTTTTCCTTTCCCCACCCAGCTCATCAACCATAGACGAAAAAACTGATACTCACACACATCAATTGGTTCTGGTTCTGTAATTAATCCCCCCCAACAGTTGAGTGCAAGGGATGCAGCGCCGATCCATGAGCAGATCATCAAGTTCCTCATCTCCAAGAGAGCTGCAATCTGGATATCAAGTCAAGAAACGGGTAGGAAAATTCCAATACGTCTCAGTAAAGCACATAGAAATCCTCTTGAGCAGGGAGGTACCACAGGCTTGCACGTTGGGTAGGTGTCGGCAGGTGCGAGCGAGCTTGATATTTGAACATGCGCCATAAAATTGAAAGTTCTTTGGACAAGGACCCCTTCAAACAAATGCCTCGATCATGCTGGGTGAAAGTTCTGGTATTCTTTTACCTAAACGATTGAACGACACGTTCCCCCATTTCATACGCAGCCTAATCTGCATTTGTGCCACTGCTGGTTCAGTGGAGCAAGTTTCAAGCTCAACCAGCAGATTAGGTTATGTTGTCACTTGCAGTATTTTAACTCAGTGACCTTGTAGATGCAAGACTTACAGGCTAGCTTTCTGTAAGAACACCTGCTCCATTAATAACTTGTTTTACATTCCAGCTCACATGCTACAGATAAGTTTCATTCCTGAGTCCAATTTAGCTCAGTGGATGAGAAATTTGCCTGGCTTTTAGGCCAATAACTTGTGGTTTGTCCAGCCACCACTCATTGTGCAATAAAATTCCTCAGTGCTAAGCAGCGAAGACCCATACTTTGCCCCGTGTAATGATTGAGGTAGGTTCACACCACATGAGTGCTTCTCAACAGTTACTGGCCAAAGCTGGAGCAGGTCAACTAGGACCTGTGATTGTTGGAAAATGTAATTGAGTCCTCCAAATTGTGACTGTCAACGGGAGGGCAGGCTGAAAGGGGCGTGACCTAGTAGACTCATCCATTCCTTCGGGGATTTTTTCGTTTTTTAAGGATCTGATGCTCCAACAGGTAAGAAGGATCTGTTTTTGGGTTGTTGCTGATGCAGAATGGACTCACAAGGATTCAGTTTTTGCCCAGTTTCCAACAACCCAGAGCAGTTGCTTTGAGGAAAAAAGAAGACACAAAAGACCATTGAAGGATGACAAAAGAGTTGTTGAAGCGCTTGACCCAATCAGACTTCAATGCATGCTATCCTAGAGAAAAGGGGAAGGATGAGAATACAACAAGCAAGGGTGACTGAAGTGCAATCAAATTCAAGGAGGGGACTGAGAATGATTTCCTGGAAAGGTTGGGATGTTTTTGATAATTCATCCAACAGCTGAACAAAAAGGATGCCAAAAGATACCCAAGATTCCAAAGATTTCTAACCCCACCCTTCTAATTCTTAAACTTAGTGTATGGGAAAGGTCAGCTTAAGCAGTGATCCTTTCTAGTCAATCCTGGTTGGAAAGAAAATCTAGAACATCCCATTCCAGATTCAACAAATTTTGGGTCAGGATATAAATAGTTTGGGTTTGGACCAAAAAGCATTGCCCCAATTGAAAATATGTTGTCCAAACCCAAGCCTATCTTGGGCCCACTTGGTGTTGAGCTGGCACATACAGTGGGTGGATGAAAAGAAAAATTCAAACCCATGTGCAATTTCAGTTTCACTGAGTGTCACCCCCTGCAAAGCTTGGTATTGTTATGGTGTTTCAAGCCAGTCTGGGCACACACCATATTTAAGCAAAAAAATAGTCAAACACACTGGGCCAACCCTAAAGCCCACTTGGGCAAGCTCAAAGCATGTGTGGCACAGTTTCAACCCTCCCAATATGGCACCTGTCAAAGATGGCGGGGTTCAGGACAAATCCTTGCTTAGACAAAATCTAGGGAGGGTACCACACCCACCAAAATGCTGGCCATTGAGAAGGAATCTCTTCTGGATGGCTGTTTCACTACTCAGTCAATCAGTCCCCTCAATGACTGATACTGTACCAATCATCAAGGAGGAGAGACTTATTTTTGATGGCTGGTACATCAATGTGCCAACCATCAAAGGGAAATGTATCCCTATCAACTATTGAGGAGGGCCTTGTTAGACTGGGTCAGAGTGAGATGTTTGTGGAAGGATAAATTGCATCAATAAAGAATGAAACAAACATCAGATGAGAAAGGAGAAAGAGAAATAGGAAACAAAAGAAGAAAAAGAGAAGTGAGGACATACCTGGGTCAGAGTGAGATGTTTGTGGAAGGATGAGGAAAGGAATCCTTCCACATACTCTGGCCCAGGTAAGCTACAGATTCTGTGACATGTGAGTGAAACTCGGATGAAAGGTGAGAAGCACAAGGAAATAAAAAAAGAAAACAGGAGAGACTGAAAGAATACTCCAACCGGACTGTCCCCTCCTTGATGGCCAATTCAGTCCACACACCAAGGGTTGAGCAGTTTATCTCCTTTCCTTGGCAAATAAACTTGTATGGGTAATTGAAATGGAGTTGTATGATGCCTCTCAAAGGCAAGTAAACACCATTTCAAGATGGGCAACACCAAAACCAATAAAATACATGTACCTGCATTGGTCTGTATCTGTATCTTTTTTATCCCAATACATTGTATCTGTATTGTATTGGAAAGATTGGAAAACAAATAATATACAAATATATTTTATCTGGTTGCCAATACAGCCCAATACAATACTGTATTTTTTGTATTGGGCAGTTGGGCTGTTGAATGCAGTCCTAATTGGCCAACAAATGTGTAGTAGTTTTTTGATGAAATACCTTTGTATTTTATCTGATTTCAGATACAATACCCAATACCATTTTTTTCAGTATCTGAAGAAAAGATACAATACACTGTATTGCCCAATACATTTATTGTATTGTATTGCTTTCACTGTTAAGTCGGGGGCCAATGTCAGCCTTGTGCACAGGAGCGCCTGAACCACTAAAATTCCCAGGGCTTGAAATGGTCCCAGCAGGACTTGCCTATGTGCCAAGTCCCACCACCAGTCTATTATGTCTGATCAAGCCCTCTAGGCTCAATTCTAACCTCAGGATACAAGTGGGTTGGGTCGAACCGCCGGGTCATGGGGCGGGTTTGAGCAGGCTAGGGTTGGAAATTGACCCGACTCGGATTGAACCCCACAGGTCGGCGGGGCAGGTATGATCAGGACAGATTGTATTTGGGTCGGCTTGAGATTGACCAACTGACCTGATTGAAAGCAATTAACTGATCATTTGCTGGGTTGACCCGGACCCAACCCAAGACCTGACCTGACCCAACCCGAGGCACTGTGTATTTGGGCCGGGTTTGATCAACATTTTACCATTTTTGCCCCAACCTGCCCCGACCCAAGAATTTGGCGGGGTGGGTTTGGTCACCATTTTTTGACCCAAACCTGGCCCATGTGGAACCTGATTCTAACCCCTGGTGGCACTTGGCCATGTGGGACTTTGGATTGTTGATCACTGATCATCTCAGTGGTCCTCTGATTCTGTTAACCATCAACTTGTTGGACAACCTCACTTGACCACTGGGCCCATTCAACAATAGCTCAAGGAGATTGCACTCAAGAATTGTCTTTGAGCACCAATGGAGAGGATTGTGAGCCACCGTACCTTTGTCTAAATTCTAACCAGTTGCTGATGAGTGACAGTCCTAAAAGCTCAAAAAAATCTTGATTGTAATTTTACTTCTTGGATTTCCCTTCTCAATCATTCCTTCCATTGCCTCAAGACCCCCCCCCCCCCTCATTATTCCCCCATTTTTTTCATCCATGTTTGAAAAACCAAAAAAGACTTTCAACTATTTTCCTACATTTCATACTCTGGAATGAAACCACAACCAACTGCACATTCAGCTGGCTTGACCCTCATTTCCTCACCTGCAAAAAAAAAAATGAAGTGGTTAGAATGACCCCCAAAATTCAGTATTTGGGGGTTCCATTATTTCTGTCAAACCACTTTACATTTGGCATGAGCTGACCAAGTTTGAAAGCCTATGCAAAGCTCAAGTTATCAAAATAAACCTCCAAAACCCAGCCTGATTTGTCTTTCTGGGTTGAGTTTTGGTCCTACGATTGTCTCTCAAAATCTACCCAAACCCAACCTATGACCCAACAGGTCCTGGGTTGTCTGAGGCAGGTCAGCCCAACCTATTTACATCCCATGTCTGGGCTTGGATTTGGACAGATTCTTCAAGAATCTGAGCCATCCTTCTCTAGACTTTGAATCAGTCCAAAATATGAAACAATCCATTGGGCCAAAAGTCATCCAGTCTGCCATTATGAAACAAGAAGTTTGATGATTGGAGACCTGGAAAGCCAGTGGTCTCAATGGGGATTATGAAATTGGTTGAAACCTGAAAATCCTCAAGCCTGTGATATGGTGGATGATGTGTTGTTGTCTGAAGATGAATAGTTGAGGAAGGAATTAATGGAAATAAAAAAAAAAGGCAAATACAAGATCATTACAAAGCAGTAGACCAGAGGTCATTTAGTCAGCACGGGGACAATGGGTGGCCAGTGATGTGAAGCCAATTGTGGCCCTTTTTCCAATCATGGACTCAATGCACAGTGGTTGAACTCCCCAAGCACAACAAGGAGTATTCCCAGAGTACCGCTCAAGTTCCAACAGATGTTCTCCAACATCATCTGCCACACATTGCCCTCATTTTTTTTGTGTTTCCTGGTGCAAGATCTGCGAGTCTTGAGCGAAAGACAAATTGATCAAAAGCACTGTTTGTCAATAAATCATATCTACCTTTCCAACGCTCTTTGCGCTTGTCTCAGTCATCAAGAATATTATGATCATATTGATGATTATACTGTTCAAATACAAAGATTATCAACAGATATTGGTTGAAAATATAACATTTGATACATTTCTCTTTAATTGATGATCATGTCATTTTTTGGGGGGGAGGAGGGTAAAGCGGTTTATAGTGATATGATATATGGTATATGGACCTCGGTTTGCTCCTATGGAGGGACACGAGCGCAAGGACTCATTGGGCGCATACACAAAACCAAGCAAGTGTTACAAGCGCAGGAATAAATAAATAGAAAGCAAGTTAAGTGAGCATGTAAGAGTGGAAGAGAGTATACAAAGTGTCAAACGACAGGGGGGGGGGGGGAGGTTATTCTAGACATGGACGGGCCCGATGGGAGGGACAGATGAGGGGCCTAGAGCTTGATCCCGTTGTGGATGGAAGCGACGCCGAAGGTGAGGTCCTCCCACCCTTGGTTCCTGTCCTTGGACAAATGCTTGTGCGCGCCGGGAAGGACAAAGCCGGCCTCCTGGATCATCTCGGCGAACTTGGGTTGGGCGGGGAAGCGACGGATCGACTCGACCAGGTCTACACCCATCAAGCATCTTGGGGTCAGAGTTTGACCAGGAGAAGCGGAATGGAAGCTTGGAGGGAGGGACTTACATTGGTACGAGTCTCGATCGGAGGCGAGGATGTGGCCTAGGTTGGGAATCACATTGAAGGAATACATCTCGTAGATCCTGGGATTGGGTTTGGTCAGCAGTCTTGTTCGCTGTTCAGAGGAGCGCATGCGTAATATGGGACTTACCCGGCCAACAGCGGATTATTGACTTTCCCAAACTCGAGACAGCTAAACCGACCGCCCTTCTTCAAGACCCGATAGGCCTCCTTCAAGACGGCATCGATGTGGGTGCAGTTGCGGATCCCGAAGGCGATCGTGTAGAGGTCCACGGAGTTATCCTCGATCGAGGAGGCGCGCAGGTCCTGGGCGTTGCCAAGCTTGAACTCGATCTGGTCGCCGCCATAGTACATGCTCCGGTTGACCTTCTTCTGCCCCTCGGCGAGCATGTCCGGGTTGATGTCGAGGATGGTCACCTTGGTCTGGCGGTCCGAGTGGACCAGACGGGCGTGGTCGAGGATCCTTAGCCCGATGTCCGCCGTCCCCCCTGCCACATCTAGACAATGTATGTCCCCATGCGGGTCGAGCGACTTGACGTAGTGGTCCTTCCACATCCGATGGATCCCCAGCGACATTGCATCGTTCATCACGTCGTACGACGAAGCCACCGAGCTGAAGACTTGTCCGACTGGAGGAAGAAACCTGCTTTTGTGAGCTCTACGCTTCGAGATATTCATCACCCATCAGTCAGTCTGAGATGCACATACCCAGGCTTTGCTTGGCCTGTTCTGGCACGTCCCTGTATCCGAAATGGGTCTTGGGCTGATCGGGATGCTCATCGAACTGGATGGGTGTCGGTTTGGGTTTCTGATCGGCGGCGACGGTGGTGGTGGAGTGTGTCCTGCTGAGGAAGGATGGTAGTAGTATGGGCTGTCTCGCTCTGCTGAGTGGGGTGATGATGAATCTGTTCATCCTGTTGGCCGTTGGGTGGTGGTGGTGGCACTTTTCTTGGTGGGGGTTCGAGGTTGGCTGGCCAGTCGGCTCGGGTGGAACTTCGACACGGAACCACGCCGATGGCACTCAAACCACCCGCCACTCGACTGCTCACCGGGCATACCGGGCCGTGAGTGATCCTCAACTCATACATATGCTGGTCGAACTACATAGAACTAAAACCACGGCCTTTGTCCTGGAATTCCACACAGCGTCTTCACCCTGGGGTGGTCGGTCGATGGAAGGAAACTAGCGAGCGGATCGAAGGACGAAGGGATACGAATCTGGAATCCCGAACGAGCTGATTGTACGCTCCTGCCAATCCTTTCGCTCACCAACAGATAGATCCTCACTAACAGCCATGGACTCCATCCTTTAAACCACATCCCGGACGTTCATCTCTAGATTAGATGGCAAGGCATCCGCCGAATTGAAAGGACATTCCAGTCGGATCAATCGTATGCTCATTAGTAGAACTCTTAACACTCAAGCGAGAGAAATTCAGGGCAGACAAGTCTGACTATCTCTCCCTTTGTCGTTCCAGAATTACGATGGGATCCTACTCATCCTGAAAGACTAGCCAGCGCGGGAGAGGATGGCACACTGCGTTTCTGGGACATCCGACGTGAGCAACATCCATCCATTGGTCCATGGTATTACTCTCGCTCGATCTGTGCAGTGGTTAAAAGTGATGATGTATCCAGAGGGATCCAAGCCGATACGGACGGTCGAAAACGACTCGAAGCTCTCATTCCTGAATCTCTGTTGGTCACCAGATGCGTCGATCGTCGCGATCGGAGACTCCAAGGATCGCCTCCAATTTTACGACTCATCGACCGGCAAAAAACTTGCAGAACATGTCGAGTTTTCTAGAAGTCCTAACGCCAGTGAGGTATGTCCCCTCGCCTTGTTTTGGTTGATTTCAAATGATACATCAGGATAAGGTTTTGAGAGTGGTTAGAATGGTTGGTTGGTATTATCAAAGGGACAAAAAGATCAAATAAACGAGGTCTCCTTCTCTCACTCGGGCGACTATCTCTTCGTGCCCACCGGGGCTGGCTCTGTGGTTACCTACGCGTTTTCTAGAGAAGGTGACGCGGCCAAGTTAACCGAATTTCACCGATACGAAGCTCATGCTTGTGTCATCAACTGCATCGGTACGCCGGATTGTTTTTTTGTTTTTCCTTCTCGGTTTCTATTGAATGAACAAACAAAGAATGGTGGCAATAAGACTAATAACTTACAACTGCACACCCGCTTCTCTGCATTTTGTTTGATTACGTAGATATCGACCCTAGAGGACGGTAAGTCCAGCAAACCAAGGAAGAAATTTTTGAGAATGTGTTGAGCTCACCATCAGTCGCACGGTTGATTCATCTTTGAATACGTTTATATTTATTTACATATAGATACATCGCAGTAGGTGGGGCAGATTCGATAGTCAGTCTGATCGACCTGGAGGAATTTTATTGTGTCAACACCTTTGCCCATCTTGAGTTAGTCATCCTCTTTTGATTCATGTGTATGGACCAAGATGTCGAAACTTATGGTTCTTCTTGAGGGCAGATCGGATGTCCGGACGATCAGTTTCTCATATGATGGCGACTTCATTGCCGTTGCAGGAAAAGACTTCTTCATCGATGTCGTCAGTCTCTCCCTTTCTTTTTTCTATACAACCAAGCTCAAAACCAACAATCTTTTTTTTTTGGCGGGGGGATGTGGGGGAGGACAATAGTCGGCGGTATCAACCGGCCAACAGGTCCGGAAAATCGACAACTTGACCTACCCTGTCAATAGCATCGCCTGGCATCCGTCCAAGTACGTCTTGGCCTACGCCGGCGACGAGAAGGCCGGCAACGTTCGGGTGGCCAATCTGGCCTCTTGATTCTTTGCTCTGTGTTTCCCTTGGTATACTTAATCCTTCAAGCCCTATCCACTCCCCTTCATTAAAAATATCCAATGAATGTCAAGCTCAATGTTGCGTAGTTCATCCGGATCCCGGCTTCCATCCCCTACAACTCTACCTATTTTTTTTTTGTCTTTTTAACCCTTCTCTTTTCCAATCTATTTTCCCCAAAAGTTTGTAATTTCTTGATCTCGAATCGAATCTATCAATCCATCCAAAAATCTGAGGGTCCTTGGAGAGCCTGCGGGGGCTGGCCGGCGGGTAGGGCTAACCCCCCTTTTCTGAAGAAGTCGGGTTCGTTGCTGGCTTAATGGTCTGACCTGAGTTGGCACCTCAATGTTACTCTTACCAATCACATCATCGCAAACGCCCTCATCGTTGCAGATCCAATTATGTTGATGGCACACAAGAGGCGCGACAGTGCACCAACTTGGTCCTGTTTGATAGTCTCTGAGGACATTGTCATTAGTCTGATGTGACGTTTAGGCAAGCACAGCATAGTAAGTATGAAGTGAGTCCATGGCAGGCCGGTGGGCCGGGCCGCTGCATGCATAATTTTTCCTGTCAGCGCCTGACCCGGCCGGTTCCGGGTATGTATGTATGTACAAGATCTCGCCGGCACAAGGATCTGCTGCTCGGTTTCTGTTTATCGCTTCAGGATCTCCTAGTCTCAATGATGTGCTCAGTTACAATGAGAAAACTCACAGGGGCTTATAATCAACGCGCCTGATAAGCACCAAAAAATCACTCGGCAGTTGGTACAACAGCAGATCAGGTATGACTGGATACTCCCACGCGGATGTTCCCTCCGCCCGAGGTCTGCCCGACAGTTGCCGCTATAGTTTCCAGCGGCATTCTGAGCAGTCGAGATCTGCTGCACTCTCTGACTGTCGGATTCTACCAAGGCCATTTCCACAGCTGCTTCCCCAAAAGACCTGACACTGTGCGTACAACAATGTTCCGCTCTTTTTTAATTTTTCTTTGCCATCTACGTGCACTCGATCCTGACGTACATATTTTTTTCGCAAATTGCTTACTCTCTCTCTTTTGTACACCCAGACAAAATCCACCAAAAAGCGATATAGACATTCTGATTCTGAAAGAGCCGATTTGTACACGATAACAAGAGCTTTCAAGCACACAAGCGAGAAGAATTCTATTCCGCCATGGTCAGTTTATCGTTCCTCCTCCGCCCGATGATCATTCTATGCTTTTCATTTCTATTCGGCCGTATCATTGCCGATTCTGGTCTGATCCGCACCACCTATAATGGAGCGGTCGAGGAAACTGTAAGCGACTTTTGTAGAGCTTGATCGATTTCTTTCCTCGTCTGAAACCAAGGGGACCAACCGAATCAGACTGACGATTCCTATCCATATCAATGACTCGTAGTATGTTTGCAGTGGTGAGAAGCGGGTAGCAACTTTATTACTCTCTGGCCCGGATAAAAATAGGATGTTTTCTTGGAAAGGGAAGAGAGTTACGGCCTTATCTGGGAATTGTGATTGTGCACCCGAACGCGACGGAGTTCGATTACTTGTTTGTCAAGAGGAACCGGATTTTGACTTGCACAAGGGTACAGACCCAGACACGCCGCCGACCTGTTGCAAGTAGGTCTAAAAAAGCGCAATCCTATGATTGAAAACCCCTCTCCTCGACGTGTTGTAAGTGTTTTTCGTTTGACCTTGCGAGACATCCTTCATGTTGCTAGCATCCAAAACAGTGATGATGATCAAGCTGAAATTAACAGACCATTTTTTTGTTTGAACATTGGATTTCCAGGTATCCAAGACCTCAACAAGCTCGACTGTCCGGATTCTTCGTTTGCTATATCTTGTACATACTCACGAACCACATAGCCTGCTAAAATTTCGTTACATCCAATCGGTACTTCATGCAAAGACGTGTCAATTGAAAACCATCTGGTCAAAAACGGCTGGAAGAGTGACACAAAGCAGAGCGCAGAGCGTGTCCCCGACATGTGCACCGTACGCTGATCTGCAAATAACCCACGGCAAGGTGTAATATTTGGGCGAAGGGTAATTGGCTGTTTTGACTGCCCCCCTCGTACAAAGCGGGCTCACAGCTAAACAACAATCCCTGTCTGAGCCACACGTCTGAGACGATGAAGACTTTTTGGGAATTTTTCTTGTGATAAGAGTTCTATCTGATTCATCAGCGTTGCACACGTCTGATAGGTAAATCTGCTTCCGAAAAGATATTTCTGGACTGGAAGATAATGACTGTCAACACGGCAGATGTCGGTGAGATGGATCCATCTGTTTCCCTTGCACCTCGCCCTTGAGAGTCTCTTCGAATCTTTCACATCACTGGATGAGTGCAGGAAAGCTTCTCAGAGAAGGTAAGTATGTAAGTGAGTCCGTGGCGGGTCGGTGGGCCGTCCCGCTGCATGTCCTGTCCGAGCTTGACCCGGCCAGTTCCAACTTCCGGGTAGCCCATCAGCCGCCCCGGCCATTTTCCATCCTAATCCTATCACAACTCTGAGCTCAATTTGATTCAGCCCTCACTCGAACGTGTTTTACGCGTGATCAAGCCCACACTTTGCAAGTGGCGACTCGCACGGGGATAAAGATGTCTGAAGTCAAGCCTTTCGCAGGATCAAACGAGCTAGAAACACGCCCCTCTGTTAAGACAAATGGACCAGAGCCAAATCTTCCCAGCCGGACAGCCGTTTCAGAAGCAACGCTTCCCATCGCGACGAATGAAGTGGAAGGTTCTGACGCCGCAGGCGAGCAAAACACACAGGCCCCTGGCGAAACAAGCGATTCAGAATCTAAGCCTTACCTCGAGGAAGAGGAGCCGAGAGCCAAGCCAAAGCGGAGACAAAGAGAGTACGTAGCTCAAAAGTCATCCATGCATGGTTCTCAATTTGGTTTTTTGTTTTTTGACAGTAAGCTTTTGTCTATGCGAATCGTCATTCGATGCTTAGATACCGTAAAAGAAAAAAACACGAGAACAGGGCCAAAAAGAACAAGACGGGACGGGAAAATCGATTGAACCAAGTGATATCGAGCCAATCGCTATGTCCGTTGGTAGGCCATGCCGAAAAAAAACTCCAGAAGTTCGACTTATTCCCTCAAATCTCGGACGAGATTGCGATAGAGAACGAACGCCGATTAAAGCAGTGCGGAGAAAACTCGAGTGATAATCCCAATCAGGTATTCCAAAAACCAACCGATCCGGTTTTGATTCCGCGAGCTCCCACTGAAACGGAAAATAACTGGGCTTTAAAACACGTCCAAGAGAACTTCCTCAACCTTGACCATGGTCGTGTAATGATGTATGATCTCAATAACGATAAGCAAATCATCGGTGTGGTCGAATATCTCAAAATCCCCGAGATGACTCCAAACCAAAGGAAAGACTTGGACTTTCTGTGCGCCTTCTTTCACGGATGTCGGCAATTCGTATTACCGGCTGCGTTGGAAGGCCGAGTTTGTGCGGATATCACGTCGGCCATTGGTTGGTCCAAGGAAACGACACATCTAGAGATTCTTTGCCGATACCAAAACAAGGAAGCCATTGAGCAAAACCAACCAGTCTACTCGAAGCTCATGGAAGGTTCTGCACGAGCGGCTGCGATTCTCTGGGGTCTCTTCTATAATCTGGGTGATACAGCTGCTCAGAATACTCGAAATCACTTCAAGAACCTCCTCGGCTCCTCGCCTGCCAACGACGAACCACACCAAGGATCAACGTCAAGTCTAGCTTTTCCTTCGAACGGATTCCACAATGAGTATTCCTTCGAAAAAGAGGATCTTTCGCAACACCCCTTGTCTTTCGCAATGATGATTCCTATATTCAAATCAACCGGCAAGATCGGACTAGAATCAGAAGGTTATCAAGTTGACAATGGACAGTTTGTCTTTCCCGACATCAGGATTGGAATCAAATTCCCACCAGATACTGTCTGTATGATGTTATTACGAGATCAAGAGTATGCCCATGGTATCTTGAATCCGACGGTGGCGGGGGATTCTACTAGATTGGGTGTTTGCATAAAACCACCAGCCAAACTTAGCAACACTAGTATTAAACAAGAATCGTGAAGGCTCTCAAGACGAAGAAACTGATAGGTTAGAGAATCAAATGAGTGACCTAATGTCTACAAACGTCTGGCATATATGCTTATGAAGTAAACAACCTTATTATGGACTTCTGTTCTGATTGTAATACAACTTAGTCAACCCTTTCTTAACAATCTAGGAGGAGTTGGAAATTTTTCTTTACAGTGCCCCAGGGCTCTGCAACCCTGCGCCTACAAGGCATTTTTTGAGTTGGAGCTGGATAGGGAGTGTGCTACGAGAGGCAAGCGTAGCAAGAAACAGCAGTAAAAAATCAGCTTCCGACCTGAGGTTTATACTCGTCTCCAAGCATACTGAAATCAGAATTTTCCATAATCTACATATACGCGACCTAATGTAAGGTTTTTGTTTTTATCGATAACTTTGTTGAATTACTTATATAATTCTTGATGAATTGTTATAAAGAACGGTAACTTTTCATTACGCTTTGTTCCTTTTAACTACGTCATTTCATTATGCTTTTTCCGGTTGTTTTGCAAATCTTCTTCTGTTATCTTGTTCGCTCTCTTTTTGCTTTTCCCCTTTTTCTTTTCTTTCTTATCGAAATATCTTTGTTCTTTTGTTTTCATTATCATTAGGAATACTAAAGTCTTATAAAATAAAATCCTGTTACACTTCTTTTCAAGTCTCCATTCAAGAAGTTATTCTTTACCTTAAAGATAACTTGCCTCTACATTAAAAAGTTTAACATTAAACCTCAAACCGTCTCATTTTCCACAGGTACCGCTACTAGCGATGTCGCAAGAGACATTCATTCTCCTACTGACCCTGGGCTTGGGGGAAACTGCAACCTTTTGCCCCCTCTTTTTATAATATTTTCATTCTTTTGTTCCGGTTCCTCCCCCTCCATGCTTCTCAATTTTCGGCTTTTCTTTCACTTCTTCTTTGACTTTTCCTTCCTCATCCGTTCACCAAGGGCATGGCCTTTTGGATCATTTCAACATTTCCTCTTTTATCCTCAGTTCACCAAGGGCATTGCCTTTTGAATCATTTTGACACTGCCTCTCGATTGTTCACCAAAGTCATTGCCTCTTGCTCATTTCGACACTGCATCTTTTTAGGCAACAAATGTTTGAAATCCATAATAAAATATTTCTGAACAATTTCTCTTCTTGCGTTTGTACCTCATCCATCTTGTGCATTTAATTCCTTTTGCGTGATCCCTATCTCCATCGACTATTATTACTTCCTTTTTGATGTTCATCATATGTTAAGCGCACTCGCGTCATTGGCACATTGAAAACATCAAGCCAAAAACTCATTCTGGCGACTCATCGAGCGACAATTCAGATAACAAAGCCGATCTTGTACCCGAATGCTGGATTGATCATTTCAAGAAAGTCAACACTCAAAACATCACAATCCAAGAATTCATCTTATTTGGAAATCAAGTTGCTGGTCTATCATCATGCGGAAAAACTGTCCAGGTTTGGAATCTTGACACAAAAGGTTGTCTTCTATCTCAATCGCTCTGTTTCACGCTTTCGACAAGACATACTGATGACTTGAATCCAATCAATCCTGCATTCAAGATGGGGCAGTCCGATGGTTCCAACCTCTCAACTAATGGCGTTTTGGATTCTATCACCAGTATTACTTTTCGATCAGGTTAGGCATACACATAATGTCTTTTAATGAAGCGAGTATCCCCGATTGATTTATTCGCTCTCTCTCAGAATCAGATACCCAGATGACAGTCACCAGCTCATCACAAGGCCACTTGGTCATCTGGAATGTTAATGAGGGCAGCCAATGACTTCACATCATACGGAAAGCACATGATTCCGGCAGATTGAACGTATACTTCTTACCCGGTCAGCCTGTAGTTGTCACAGCCAGCGGTGATAACAGCATCAAACTGTGGCTGTTTGAAACCCCAACTGGGCTTCCTCATTTGTAACCCATCGAAGCGGACACCAACGGCCTCAAAATTGTAAAATGGATTTGAGTGTAACAGTACATGAATGAGAGCAGGCGGCGAAGCCGCCGCTAAACACTAGTCTCTTAATATAGGCGATAATTCCTCTTGGAATTATTCATAGCCATTCAAGAAAATAGAGATATAGTCGGCGCCTCACACCTAAGCTCAACTCGAATAGAGACTTTGATTTCCCGAGTGATCCTCCTGCAGAGGGTGTTGGAAGACACCCCTGCCAGTGATTCACTCTGCATCCACCCGACACTTTCGGCTGGCTATGTTGTTTTACTTCAACCCAATCTTGCACCTTAACCATCGAGGCTCAGGCTGGAACGGTGGCAGACGGCAATGCTAGGTAAGAACAAGTTGTCTAATACAAGAGAGAATCGTTTCCTCGTCGTGTTTGTGATCCGTGTTCAACTGGCGGAATACCCCTGGGCCCACACTCTAGTCATTCCTTCCCCATGACTGAGGTTGATGAGCGGCCGGACGCTTAGGTAGCAGTCAAGTCGTACGCACAATGCCATCGAATGACCGATAGGAGATGCATGATCCCCACTTCCGCTTCAACATTAACCACCGATTTTTTCTCACTGCTCTCGCGCCTCCTCTCTGACGGAATCACCTTTACAAAGGTGTCCGCTCCAGGGAACAGGTGGCCTCGTGTTCTGCGGCCGTCTGGTCCACATATTTTAAGTCTGGGAGAGGGAGAAGGAGGCTAAAAGATTATCTTTTCCCTCTTTATTCGTCCGAGAGGCGGTCTTCTTTTTGCTGCCCGACTGTTCCTTCCTCCGCCCTCCCTCCGAACCAAAACACCGTCGTGGTTGTGAATTGGGAGCTGTATGTAGGCCAATCAATTTGAGTTGTCAGCCAAATGGATTCAATGTTCACCAGAGCCTGACCCTGAGTGAGCCGTTCGTATGCCTCGAGTCGTGTTTTAGTACCGAAGTGACTTCGGGATGCGACTCAGGATGCTCGCCGGAATCAAAGATACATACTCAAGTCTCGATTCCTCGAACCGCTCAAGGGCTTGTTTCAGCAGTTGGTGACTCAGTCTGTATTGGCGAAGTATATGTCTAATACAGCCTCACGCTTATGAATCTGGAGAAGCGTTTCACTTGGGTTCTCTCCACTTATGAAACCCGACATTACGAGCTCGAATCATGGATTCCCTCGCCAATTGTTGGCTCGGGCCTCGAAGCTCTCGTCTGGACAGCTCAAGCTACAGGTTAAGGATTCGGTATTTTATATACACAGGAACGGAGACGTGTCTCAGTCGCCGACTCTGCATTCCACATGCTCAGATATGAGGGTACCTCAACTGGACAAAAGCTGGGGGGGATTAGGAAACCATCGGCCGTCCTCTTCCTGCTTACTCCCATCAGCAGGACCCTTCCGTTCATTCTTTCTATCCACCGATAACCATCAACAATACGCTCGTTCAGTTCGTAACTTATAACCAGCCAAGCTGCAGAAGACAAGCCCTTGACCACTGATCACTACTACTTCTATCGAACCGATATGCGAAGGACTCAGTCAAAGGGACTTCAATTCGTGAAGCTCACAATTGTCTGTTGCGCTTCGCTTTCGCTGCTGTCAGTCCCTTCTGAGGCCAAAGTACCAGACCATGAGCCAGTCAGTCACCACGAGAGACGCTCTCTTGCACGTAAGCTCAGCATCACACCACCCTAGTCTTGCGCTCGTTCAGTTGCGGACCCTCTAACCCATTTGCGTCCGTCAGCCGCCGGAGTACCGCCGTCGCCTGCGCCAGCACCAGCACCAGTGGGAGCAACCCCTGCAAGCGTCTCTGGTCAGTCAAAATCCATTCTTGCCAACCTTGAACAATGTCAACAGGCTCAAAGTTCAAGTTATCCCTCTGGCAGCACCCACACCTCCCTCAACCCCTAGTGATCCCCACGCATGCCAGAAGCTCCCAATCACACCCGATACATGGAAACTCCTTGACATTGATAACACTTTGCAGCGCCTACCTGGGGGACAAAATATGACAATTGCTGTCAGTATTGCAGCCTTCGCACACCCTAGCCATTCGCACCTTGTTGATATTTCTTCCTCTAGCAATACGCTGCTGCCAACGGTGCCGGGAATTTCATATGCGGAATCGGGGAAAACTGCAATGCCGGTCAAGTAAGTATCTTCCTCATGAGCATCCGCCTCATGATTCCTAAATTGAATGAACATTCTATTAACACGGCTCCCGCCACTAGCTGTGCCATCCTGTCAAAGCTCCCGCATGGCAAGTCCTGTACGCTACCCAGGAATACACTGCCTTCACCAATGCTCTGACGGACTCAATCAACTATGCCCTTTCCCAATTGCAAGGTGAGTAGCTCAAGTTCTTCTCCAGAGTCTACTTGACTAATTCTATAACCCAACATTTGCGGTTTTAGCCATTGCTGCATCCATGTCCCAGGATCTGTGAGCAAACTTTCCTCAAGCCCCATTTTTTTTTGTTCATCTCCAAAACTGATTTAAATGAAACTTATCCAAATGGCTTTTGCACACTTTTAGCGTCGAAAATATCGCTGATTCAAGATTGGAGGTCGACTTGAAGTGGTTGTTCACCGACATGTACCGTGGGATCGCCTATGGGGCAACTGCCTTATTCATTATCAGTTTCACGGCCAAATCATTCGGGGGCATTTTCGAAGTCGCAGCGATGATTCTATTTTTGACGGGTGTCGGAGCAGGCATAGCGGCTTGGTTCCAGGGTGCTCCCAAGACCGCATCGTTCGTATCCGTAAGCATACCAGAAAAACCCACCTTCTTGCGGGTCGCCATCCTACTGACATGCGCGTACTGCTTCACAGTGGTCTAAGTTATCGTTCTACATCACTCAAGCCCAAGGAGAGCTTGCCACCCGGATCACTGAAGCCACAGAGAAAACTTTCAAGGCTGGAATAACGTCTGAAAACGGTTTGGCCAAGATTTTGGCAGGTGGCCACTTCTTCACCCCTGCATCACCCGTTGGCATCATGGAAACCACCGAGAAATCTATCATGCAAATCGTACAAGGCCGTTTGTTGGCAAGGCTACTTCGCGCACAAGTAAGTACAAACAACCTGACTGGAGCTGCAAAAACAGCCTTTTCTTGGACTTGAGTTACTGACTGCAATAATCTCGAATCGAATTAAAAACAGAATGCGTATATCACAATATCACCGGTAAGTCGCTGAAATGACAAATGAAACACATGGGTCATTTTTACCTCCAATGTACAGTTGCTTAAACTTTGGTACAACTTTAGGACGATTGCCACGGGAAAGGACCAGGCGGATCGCGTGAAGGAAATGATGTGCTTTCGTACTGTGACCCTGGCCAAAAGCTGTGCGAATCCCCCACATTTTCAATGCCATGAATTGCCAGTTAATATTATCGATTTTCGCACAATTTATCACAGGCTATTCAACGTCGTCCGGGCCCACAAAAAGAAGACGATTAACACTATTTATGGCGCATCTGCTGTCACAAACAAATACGGCTTCACCGTAGAATTTATCGTCAAGAACTCCTGGGAGTGCCAAAAGAAGTACGGTAACTTTGAGCACGACGTTTTCGCCGACGCCAGCAAGTGAGTCCCTTCAGCTCATCTGATAATCGACCTCTCAGTTGCTCACTCATCTCTTGTCATGTAGGGTTTCTCCAAACGATATGATGAGCACAGATTGTATTATCAATTTGCCCGTCTGTGACATGCGAGACGACTGTAAGTCCACGAAGCGTCCTTTTTTTTTCCCCATTACATTCTTCTTTGGCACTAACCTCAACCAAAACACGATGCAGATGTCAGAAACTTGAAGTTCTCCCGCCACAAAACGACTACCTATGCATGCCGAAAAGGCGGGGGTCTTCCAATCTAGCGCATCCGCAACACTCGACCGTCTTTTATTCTCTAGATTTAATCTTTTCCGCTTTTGTTCGTACAGCCCGCCGAACGCTCATCCTTGCTCTTTTAAGCTTGAGATGCTGAATAATTCTGAATCTCACCTTCTTGTCACTGTGCCCCCCCCCCCCCATGGGCTTGTTCGATTCACATATTTTCTTAAATAACATATGGAATTCTCAGCGCAAGCATGTAAAACTTACTGCTTTCTACAATTGTCTTCTGTTCCAATCCTTTTTTTATGCTTATCTAAGATTGCTTGGGATATTTTTCCACCAACCCATTTTGGTGTGATGATCGATCAAAGGCCGCAAGAGTCCATAGAACCCCCTCTGCCCAACCCCGGGCAGTGTCGGGCCGCGCCCGAAGAGTTGTTTGAGGGTATTCTTCCACCCCGGGTCGGGAAGTCACAAGGGCAGATTCATTCCGGTGCGGGGTGCCAGTGGCCATTCAGCTCGAGGCGAGCCTACCCATGACCCTCTTTGATAGATGACAATGAAAAGCTGGGATATAAAAAAAACAAAGCAGATACGACTTGATGGAGGAGTCGTCCCGGGCATTGGAATAGAAAAAACCATCGTTGGTTGCCAGGAGGACCCACATTACTAGGGCCCGTCCGACTTGAAAACTCCCTGTCACGTCACGCTTCATGGATCTTATAGAATGGCCCAAACAAATGATCCTGTGGGTTGAAGATTGGACCATGTTACCGGTATTCTGAGATTCTCAACTTGATGTCCTCGCTTGGCCACTCAGCCAGGTCACGCCGGGTAACAAGCTCAAGACATCCAATCAACAGATACAAGCCTCACACAGTGATAGTACGGCCAGAATTCTCAATTGGTACAAAAATAAAATGCCATTGTTTGGTTTTTCCCGAAATGAACACGAGAGATGTGGATTCTGGCACGGTTTACAACAGCCTACTGGAGACAAACCAGCACAATGATTCAATATAAATTTCATCGGCGTTGTCAATGATCCCTAGGTAGATGGTGTTTTGAGATAGAGAAAGGGAAAGAGAAGAACCCAGACGCAAAGAATAGTAGACCAACAAAAACCCTTCTATTTTTATCGGGGTAGATGCCAAGTTTGAGGTGGGAAGGTATTGGGCTGTTGAGCTGTTGGCGGCTAGGGAGGAAGTGGTCCCGCACCATCCACAGGCTTGCAGACAATGTTATAGTGAGCCTTGTAAGTTTGCTTGCCATAACGTTCCTACACATGTTATGGAGAAATTAGTTTTTTTGAGAGAACAATGTAAACATTGACATCCAATTGTCGAACTTACTACAACAGGCTCATACGCAGCTTCCGTGCAACACGCTCGCACCCGTTGCCCAGGTAGCGCGTTTCCGGATGGCCAGATGGGCCAGTTTTCCTCCTTGCAAACAAACAGGTATGGCTTGACAACGGATGGTGCTGCTAGTGCTACAGAATCACCCACCAAAAAAAAGAAAATCAGGCATTCTGCCAAACAAGGGATGGAAGGCTTTGTAAAAAAAAGAGGCTTACTCCAAGAGTTGTGCGCTGATTCGATGGTACAGACTCCGTGCGGCTTAGCTGGGTCGGAGCATGGAAATGAGTCGTAATGCTGCTGCTTGTCTCCTTTGGCTTGGATCATCATGCCAACCGAAAGATTCAACCAGATGGAGAACTGCATCACAGGGCCGTTGGAGGGAAGTTACTAACAAGTGTGAGAAGTTTGGATAGGCGCTTGGATGACTGCAATGACCATGCTTTATAGCCAAGTCTGCCTCAAACAGTCATGCCCTGGTAGGTCACACCCCTTCACATTGGACTCACCACCCTGTATGCACACCATCGGAAAAGAAATCGTGACTGACCACGCAACTCACCACACGCGCAAGCCTGACCTCATTTGACCCATAAGGCACTAGTGCTCAATTCGTTTATACATGTATCAAGGGCTCCTAGCCGATATATGTACCATCATCCATAAGGGCATGGAATACCAAACATGGCACGCTCCTACTACTTTGTCCCCGGAGGTCGACGCGTAGCGCCTCCCTCTGATGGTGCCATGAGGCGTGAAACTTAAGCAGCCCTCTCAAATGTGACGCTCTTTCATGCTCGATGTGGCAATCACGCTTGGCAATTGGTAATGTGCTAAAATCTTAATCTATTTATTTATGGGTTGAAGTCTTCTGAATTGATGATATGTAGATAGGTAGAAGAGATATAAATTGAGAGTGTTCTGAAAATCCTCATTGATATAATTTATCTTCACAAGAGTTTCCACAATGTCAAAGGTTAATTCTATCTCTTACTCCTAATATGTAAATAGATTTTCTAGTATCTTGAGTACTTACAATTCATGTTTGGAAGAGAATTGGGAATAGTCGGTGGGCCCTTGCAGTTCTTTAAAAAAATGCAAGCTGCAAGGATTTTGTATAACCCAGTGTGGTTGGAACTCATCCTGGGTGAACTGGACCCTTTTTTTCAATGCTAGAGCACCTGTCTGAGTGATTTGAACTTAATGTGTGCATACTCAGTGAAGAAATTTTAACCAAGGAAGGGAGAATTCTTGGAGGAGATTTTTGACAACAAAAATTAATTTTGTTGGAACGGCTCAGAGGGTCGAAAAAAGAAGGAGAGAACCGATGATATTTTTTCTTAGCCGAGACTAGTCGTTAAGTAGTCTACATACAAGTTGTTCAACATGTGGTTTGAGAAGAAATTGAATATAAAAATTAATAACAGTTTGAAACATGTAAGAAACATTGACAGGAGCAAATTCTTATTGATAAAGACTAGACCCAGGTTTGAAGACTACGGGGATTTCAGCACTAGACAAAAGAAAAGATGCAACTCAGACAAGGACAAGACATACTCAAAACATGTGTATTAATTTGTATAATCATTAACAATTGAGGAAAGGGTTTTGATGAAAAACAGGAAATATAATTGTAACTAGAACCAGAACTAAAACGAAACACAAGTTAGACAGTTTTTAAAAGATAAGTTTTTAAGAGAAATAAATGACAAATGTGAGGAGAGCATACCACGAGAAGTTTTAAACTTTGAAGGCAACAGAACAGAAAGGCTGAGATAGACAAGGTCAAACAATGACAGATAGTACGAACTGATTCAAGCGCAAAAGAGAGAAGATAGAAAAATAATAAAAGACAAGTTAATTTTTGATCGGGTGAGCAAGATTGTTTGATGATGTTTTGCTTTTCTCACCAAATTGGCAAAAGCCAGGAAAGAAGATTGAGCGAGAGAGTTGGAGCGATGAGAAGTGTGGAAGATCGAACGGAGTAGAGATCGAGATGTCGACGAGCTCGATAGGATTGTTCGATGAGAGAGAATAGTGACAGAAGGTATAGAAAGAGAGAGGAGAGAATGCGAAGTCGGAAGGGTAGATTGATGGAGTTTTTGAGGAGAGGAATGTTGATGGTTGTTGGAGGTGAGGAGGTTTGAAGTTGTTGAGTTGAGCAGTTGGATGTTCGAGTTGAATGAAGATCGATGAGACGAGTTGAGTCGAGGTCAATGGGGAAGACTGCTGCCGAATGTTTACCAGTTGTCTCGGAGAGCAGTTTTTATAGTCCAACAGGTTGGTTCGGCTTGTGGTTTGAGTTTTTCCATGAGATGTTCGGATTGTGGTTTGTTTTGATGCTTGACAGCTGGCAGACGGCGATGTTGAGAAGATCTGGGAAGTTTGTGGAAGAGAGAGTGTATTGAGAAGAGAAGGAAACAAATAGAGAAAGGGAAGAGAGCGTGGAGAGCGGAGCGGGAGCGGGAGAGAGAAGAGTGCGAGAGAGAGCGGAGCGGGAGCGGAAGAGAGAGCTGAAGAGAAAAAGATAAGTTAAATGCAGAGTAGCGGGAATTCTGTCGAAATTCCAACAGGTTTTTAGGAATGAGAAGAAAGAGACAGAATTTCAACACCCAGTATGCCATAGTCTGTCCACCTCCTCACTTGAACACACTGGTCCATATTCTGCTCTTGTTGATTTCCCACTCAGAACTTGGGTCCATCTCCCACCGGGCCTTTCTTGGCTGTGGTGTTTGTGGGAAAAAAATACTGGTCCACTTGAGTTTCTAATTGGCCATTATGGCTGTCACAAGATTCACTCAATCAACTAGCCATGACAGTCTGATGAGCTCAAATTTGCCAAGTCCTCATTTCTATTTATGGATCTTCCTGAACTCACATCTTCCACAACAGACCTGTATCTTATGATTATATAAAGTCTGATGTTGTTTCAAGCAGTTTGATTTTATTTTTGTCTTCACACATTGTTTTGTTATGCTATAGGTCAGCTCAAACGTTTTAATAGTAGGAAGCCAACAAGTGGGTGGAGTCATTCAACTTTGTAGATTGAGCAAGAATCAAAGAAGATTGCATTTTGTTGAGGACCTGATTTGATTTGACACCTAGAGCCTTGGGAGAAAGTCTCCTTGTTCAAGAAACAGAAGAGCAGGGTAAACAGCCTGAAAGGCCTCATGAAGAGATGTGAGCATAATTGAAAGGAGAAAAAAAAATCCAATGTTTTACAGGGATATGCTGTTGGGCCAAGGAGTTGGGGATGTCACCTATGTAGTGGACTTGAATGGTAACTTTTGGCCACGAGAGTTGCAGTATAAACAGGCATCCAAGACTTTCTCTGCGTAGGTTTTCAAGCAGCTTCCGCAGACGGGAGCGGTCGCGCCGACCCAAAGTCCACACCCAGAGCATTTTTCTTCGACGGGGAAGATTCCGAGTCTGATTGACCCTCGACACTTGCGTGCGCTACATTTGGAAGCGCCTGTCAGTGTAGCATCGACCTTGATCCCCAGCGGGGCAAGCAAGAGGCCCATATTGGCCAGCAGGTACGCTAGGTCTTTCATCGAGGGGGTCGCGATACAGTGGGCCTCAAGAGGGTAAAATATCTTGTGTGGATTGAACTTGGGTCGTGCTTGGCTGAGTTGCGATGATGAACAGTCTCACTGAGGGGTGCACCGTGGAAGTGGGACGTGATAACCGTTACGCGAAGTGTGAGGGTGGTGTTGGGTCTGATGGACACTATATGAATGTTGGGTTCACTCAGACTGACTTAACGGCAATTTTTTGAGATCGGCAGAATCAACAAACCCACCACTGAGAAGTCAGGACCCAACGACAAGAAGACTGACGCTTTCAAACGAGCCGATGAGGTCTATCATGTGCTCTCCATCCTCTCGTTCGGTCATGAGTCAGACAAACCAGAGCGTTGACTGGTCTACTCCAGATTTTGAATCAACTTTTAATAACGTCAAAGGTCTGCAATTAACAATGGAGGACTTCCCGTCGGTTTAGAACGGGGGCTATTTTCTATTTTCTATTTTTTTAGCAAATAGAAAATGAAAATAGAAAATTTGTCATTTTTTCTAAAATTTGTTCTTCCGCCAACGTTCTTCTATATTTTAGAGCACCAGCTCCTCTCTCCCGTACATCACCAGACATCCCCACCACAGGTCCACATGGATAACCCTGAGTCCAATGCAGAAGCCACAGAGGACGGCCGCCGACGGGACCAGCGCAGAAGGAGAACGTATCAAAGCAATCTACAACAACATGCCAGCAAAAGACGACGTGAAGAAGAGGACTTAATCATGGTCATGTACGGCATGGGTCTTCAAGGTGCTCCAGGAAAATTTCGACAACTCCGGACTTACCTCACTCAATCTGATCTACCTACCTCTACAAACTCTGCTTGGACAACAATGATGAAAGCACGGAATGATCGAGCTTACATGACAACAATGGGGGTGGATGTAACGACTTTTGAAGATATCTTATCTAGGTTTGAGCTGTTGTGGAACTCTGTCACACTTCCCCGAAACAATGTCAACCCCAACGGAGAGCCACAAGTTGGCCGTCGGTCTCTCGATGCAGCCGGTTGTCTTGGATTAGTGTTACACTGGTTATGCTCAACAATGGCAGCATACACCCTTCAGCAAATATTTGGAATCACTCCAGCGGTGTGTTCTCGCTATCTGGATTGGGGACTCGATTGCCTTCTTCAAGTACTCAAGAACCACCCTCAAGCTCGCATTATCTGGCCCTCCACCAAAGAAAGAATTCAGCCTTATGCAACGACAATCAAAAAGAAATTCCCACTTCTCGAAAATTGCTTTGGTTTCTTGGATGGTCTGAACTTGCCCATTTGTGTGGCTGAGGATGATGAGTAAGTAGTTTTAAAAAAAAATAATAAATAAATAAAACAGAAAAAATAAGTGATACTGATTGTGATCTAAAGTCTTCAAAATGCGTACTACAATGGGTGGACTTGCTCCCATTACTGTAGCTGCATTATCGCTTTCGCCCCTGATGGTACAATCATGTATGCCATATTGAACGCACCTGGTTCATGGCATGATTCTGCTATAGCAGTTCCTCTCTATGAGCGACTCCTCAATCACACCCCCAAGGGATATAGAATTATAAGCGACACAGCCTTTCCGCGCAAGAGTCAACGGCTGCAGAGACAAATATTGGCACCGGTCAAGCGAGGAGATCGGCTACCTGAAACCCCCAGATCTTTCTCGCGCATGAAGTTACTCAACGAGGAGGTAGTATCGGCTCGACAGGCAGCGGAGTGGGGGATGCGCTCCTTGCAAGGCTCATTTGCCCGCTTAAAGCTACTGATGCCTGCGGCAGATCACTCTCAACGATTGCGAATTCTTCAAGCTGTGTGCTATTTACACCAGATCCGCTGCCGCATGGTTCACATTAACCAGACAGAAACGGTGTATGATTCTGTGTGGGACGAACATCAAGTTCTCTCTCGCAGATTTCATAACTTACTATTCAAGGACATCGAGAAACGATGCCACATCAGTCGTTACTATCAAGGATGGCTCTAGCAGCCTTGTTTTTGCTCTTTCTCCTTCTTATGGTTCATCACATGTTTTTTGTTTTGTTTTTTGATGTCCTCATTGCATCGTTTGATTCAAATATCACATTGTTGTTTATTTCATAGCAGAATTTATATTGTTCATTTTTTTTTCAATTCTCATACATAATGCATAATGAAATGCAGTCGTTCTTGTTTCTTTCATGCAGTTGTTCTTGTTTTATTTCATAGCACATTTTTTTTTTCAATAGCAGACTAGAATCTTCTTGAAATGTGAAATACAAGCTTTTATTGGATAACAGACATGATGGTTAACATGAAAACATAAGCAAACCAATGGAGAGAAGGATCACTTGAGCAATACCCTCGATCACGCATGAGGGAAATTCGGATCAGCCTCCAAGCCATCACTTATTCCGCCGAGGTGGGGTTGACCTTGGGGTTGCTGCTGAGGATGAAAACCGACGTGGTTCTGAGGTAAGATTGAAGGTTCTTGATGATTTAAGCTGGTCTGAGTGGCGGTCTGGTGGTTAAAACTGGTCGGTTGTGGCTGGTTCATGCCAGTCGGATCTGGATGCTGCGTCTGGTTTAAACCACTTGGTGGTTGCTGGGTCAAACCCGAGGTATTCGCGAGTTGCGGGTTAAAAGCCATCGGTGGTTGCTGCTGATAATGAGTGCCAAAGACCGGAAGAGATTGCATTGCAAATCCGGGATTGAATCGCATTTGACCCCACGCAGCGTTTGGTTGCATCTCGGCCCGGAGCTGTAAAACTTCAATCTTTGATTTCAAAGATGTATTCTCAAGTTCCAGTCGGTGCTTTTCCTCCTGGAGCCGAACAACATCTGATTGGATCCCACCGCGCACTCGAGCGAGCTCAGATCGCAAATCTCGTATGGTTGCGTTTGCCTCCATCAGTTGGGCTGAATAGAAAGACGCGAGGGATTGCTCGCGATCCTGCTCCTTCCGGGCATCCATATCGAGGAAGCTATTCAGCCTGCTCTCCAACTGATCGCCAGGTCGGCCTCTAGATCTTCGATTGACACTTGTCATTGGGGACGGTCGGGCTGAGCTTGCCTGTGAGTGGGCCCGATCCACCAGAGGGCTGTGATATGCAGTTTGGCGGCGCATCGAATGTGTTTGACTCGGGTTTGGAGAGTCACCCAAATCCTGGTTGGCCGATTGAGTTTGGCTCCATCCAGACAACAACGTACCGACACCTTCCTGTTGACCGGACTCAAGCTCGCCAGTTCCGGGGGAGTCATTTATATCGACATCGTCGTCGTCGCTTGAACGAACATCAGCGCCTACACCGTTCCTGATCAAATCCAGCAATAAAGGGAATAAGTCAATGTCATCTTGAACCAAACGGTGCCACATATCACGTACCTTTCATCTCCACTGGAGAGACTCCCCAAGGCACACTCGTTAGCCTTCTCATTGATAAGAGCATCGACACGTTTCGCCTTGCGAATATGTTCTGGGCAGGTTGCGTTGCCAGTGGGCTTTTGGGATTGAGCAAGGCCCTTGAACTTTTGCTTCAAGTTGTCGGCCTCACGTTCGGGTCGGTTTAGAAGAAGAACTTTGGCGTTGTATTGATCGGCTACCGAGCGCCAGTCTTGATTTCCCAAGGGGAGAACGGTTTCAACGGCCTCAACTAACAACATACACTCTGCGATGTTGTATCCCAGAGAACCTGGGGGCCGACCCCCTGATTTTTTCCCGAAGTTGATTTATCATTGTTTTTTTGATTCTTCTTCGATCCGCCCTTGTTTGGTCGACTTGATCCGCTCTTGTTCGTTTGAGTTTGGGTATCGACATGAGGAGTTTGGTTTGGATGCGGAGGGTTTTGATTGCCTTGACTGGCCTGAATTTGGGGATTGGAGACCATCGTCGTCCTTGGAGGTGAAGAATATGCCGGTTGCGGTTGGTGGTGGTTGGGTGGATATGGATGTGAGCTAAAAAAAATGCAGGAGGGCCACGAATTTAGGAGGGCAGCAAAAGCAATTGCATTTTCTATTTGCTAAAAAAAATAGAAAATAGAAATAGAAAATAGAAAATAGCCCCCGTTCTAAACCGACGGGAAGTCCTCCAATCAGTTCAAAAACGTCATCGCATGTATCTAAATAGAAGTATTACTTAAGTGCGCAATGTAAAAACAATCAGCACAAAAAAAAAAAAAGGTCAGCAATTCCCCAACATCTCAACACCTGATCTCATGAACAACTGTGACGGCCCTGAGTAATGCTTGAGTGGGCCAGGGACCTGGGGGGTAACAGCATCAATGCCAGCACCCCTTATACCCCCCACCCAAACCTATAACCGCACGGTCCAACAGAGCCAAAACGTAACAGAAGAATTTGTTTGCCAAGATAAATATGGAAAGCATGGCCACACCAACGAGCCCAAGAAGACTCAAGAGTATGTCTGCTATTGCCTTTTTTTTGGGGGGGGGATAATTGTTGGCCGAGATGAGAATGGGAGTTTCTTTTTTGGAGATGGATCGGTCTTTTGTATGTACACATACTGTGTGATCTGCTGCACCCACCTTATTGATCATCCCAAACCCAATACCAATAAAAACCATAGATTGAATGGAGTAAGAAGTGAGATTAATTATAACCAATTCTGATCATATGTTAGTACAAAATTAGAAGAAAGGTGTTCTGGGCAATTTCGATTAGGTTAAGTTATATTGTATCTTTTGTTATGTTGTATGAACTTGAATACAAACCCAACTAAAAATGAAAAGATTATCGTATTATAGACTGATTTATTGATGTCTATCTGAACATATATTTGTATATGTATAAAGACTTGAAATGAGATTTGATAGGATGGATTTTATATACAAATACAAGTAATAAACAAGTTTCTTTTTTCTAAAAAAAGAATGCGAGCAAACAAAAAAAAACCGGAAAAATTTCAAGAAAATAAATTGATAAAAGGAGAGGTAGAGTCTGAGTTTAATGGTATTGATATCCTTCAGGGGAAGAAACGAGAGGGAGATGACTAGGATTAGTGTTTGCATTGCCGATGGCGTTGGAGCTGGCATGACTAGCACCAAGGCTTGGAGCGCCCAGATTAGATATAGAGTTGGGATTAACAGCAAGCGCGGGGTTGAAGTTGGGAGGAGCAGAAGTCGGTTGATGGCTGTTAAAGCCGACGGCAGTGGTGGGAGTGGAGGGAACAGGTAGCCCAGGATTGTTGGAGCCATATGTCGATGGCATCGCAGTGGACGTCGAAGCTCCGGCCGGGTGAGATAGAGAACCGGTCGTCGATGATGAGCCTATGTTCCCCGTCCCTGGACCGACACTCGTTCCTGTTCCCGTTCCTATGTTTGATCCATTTCCACCAGGCTTAAATGAACTGACCTGAAAAACCACAAATCCACCAAAAAAGCAAATTAGCTTGTTTTTTTTGGGGGGGCTTTTATGTGTGAGATAAGAGACTCACGGCGAGTAACGTGGCCAATTCTTTAGTTGCTTTGGTTAATTCACCAAGTCCTTCTCTAATGGATTTCGAGAGAGGATATTCAATCATCGTTAATCTAGCTAAATTAGCTGTTTGAATCACCGCCTGTATCACAAAACATGCCCATTTTTGTGTTTCAGTGAGCGGGGTTTTTTCTAAATTTTAAGGGATAATAAGTTAGAGAGGGTGGACTTACTCTAACGAAAGCAGTAGCATCTTCGAAAACCTTTCTAGATTCGACTGACCCGATTGCCGAACAAGAGGAATTAAAGTCCAATGGATAATGGAAATGACAAGAAGAAGCAGAAGAAGATGAAGGATTTAAAAAGAGAGAGGAAGAGGAGGAAGAAGAAGAAGAAGAAGATATGAAAGGTGATGAGTTGGAGTGGTTAGAGTTATTAGAAAGATGTAGATCAGGCGTGGTTGTGGATGTCGAAAAGGCAGATCCATATGATCCATTTGAATGGTTGGATTGGTTCGAAGAGGATGCAAGGGAAGTCAGTGAGGTTGAAGAGGAAGAGGAGGATGAAGAGGACGATTCTTTGATCGATTGGGAATTCGAATGTGAATGTGAGGATTGTTGGTGTTGTTGTTGTTGTTGTTGTTGTTGATGGGGATGATGAGAACAAGAACAAGAAGAATGACTGAGAGAATTTCGATGAGCCCAGAAGCCAGCCAGGCTAGTTCTCAACCTCCTAATCACTTCGATCTCTTGTTCACAAAGCTCTTTGAGTTCAGCCGGTTTAGATAATCCTACCGTTCCCTTTCTCTCTCTTCTCCCTGTCACCGTCCCTGTACCTGTTGTTGTTGAGGATGATGATGCGGTGATTGGAGTGCCCGAAGAAGAAGAGGTCACTTCGTTCTTCGCTCCGCCATTAGGTTCATCAAACGAGTTCTGAGGCCGATGAGTATTATTAGGGATAGAATGATGATGATGATGATCAAGACCGGGTTGACGTAGATTTTCGAGCATCAAAGAGGTGACTGAAAGAGCAATGTCGATAGTAGCGTCAGTCATATCGAGAAAATCTTGATCGGTTCTAGACAATGAGTTGTCGAATCGAGAATGATGTGAATGGTGAGAAGAAGGAGGATGGGAATGGGAATGAGGATGGAATTTAGAGGTAGTTCTTTCAGGGATATCGATGATAGTTTTATTAGAATTAGAAAAGAGAGGCAAAGTAGGACGGGAAGAGGCAACATGCTCGTTTTCATTGAGGATCGAGGAAGGCTCAACAGAGTAATGGACAGTGTTAGTAGTAGTATTAGTACTAGAGAGACTGGCGATTGAGGTGAGAGCGGGACTGCGAGGAAGAGAGATAGTACCGGGGGAGATCAGCGATGGATAAGTGTCGAGGAGGGAGGATTTGGATGATGAATCGAGGGCGGATGGGCCGATAGAGAGTGGGTCTAGAGTTTGGCGAGGGAATGGATGTCTAGAACTGGGCGATGGGCGGGAGTCCTCATTCAACATGACTTGACTGCCCTCCGTCTTGCTTGCCGATCCGAAGCCTTCGCTGGACGGCGATGGGGAGGGGGATACCGAGCCATAGGAAGGTAACGGTAAGGCTGTTAGACCGGCCGGAGTCGCTGGCGAAATGTACCCGCCAATCTGCACATCCTCCGCTACATATGAACCCCCTTGTCGTCTTCCTTTATTGGTTTGAGTGGAAGGGTTGGCAGCGGAGATGAGACTGTTGGAGGAAGTTGAGGTGATCGTTTTGGATGACTCGGGAAGGCTAGATTGGTCTGTCATTAAGTTCTCTCGAGATACTGTTCGACGAAGCTCGGATGCTGAGATGTTGGTTGACGTCTTCTGGAAATCGTTTGATGAGGAACTCTCTTCCTTAGATTCGTGTAGAGGAGCCGCAGGGGGAGGGGGCGAAGTAGGTTTTGATTTTCTCAGACTGGGTAGGCTGATCACGTCATCGACCAGGGGAGTGATCATCTGCCAAGACATAGCGATTTCAGCCGTGGCGCCATACAAGCTCAAGAGGAGCGTCCTAGAGTATCTGACATCGGCGGAGGCAGTGAGGACTTTAAGTTGAATGCTAAGCACGTTGACGAGTTTCCCAAAGACGATGACGTTGTCACGACAAGATTTAAAGACTTGTTGAACCACTTCCAGTTCGGGTTGAGCCCGTCTAGTTGAGGAATCAAACCGATCGAGCGAGTTAATCAGCTTACCCATCGAATCGTCCGCCGCACTCGTCATTCGTGATAATGCTCCTGGCAATCGATCCTGAGTCGCAAACATCACAAACTGTTTCAAAGCCGCATAGATCTGGGAGAGACTGAATAGTATCCCCCGGATCCCATCCATGAGTTGTAAGAGTGGGGTTGGGACTTGTTTGGAGATCGTCGAAGCCGGGAGCATCGATAGTCGTCTGAAGTATGCCCCACTATTCCGATCACCAGCCAGGGAGTCGTCCTCGGCCGATGTGCCGATCTTGATCCGTCGGATCTGAGAGGCACCTGGACGGACCAGGTCAGATTGATTGAAGCTGACTTGCGAGGTCGAAGGTGGGGGATTGTTGGTGGCCAGACCGGGGGTCGAGGTTCCGCTGGAGAGGGCCATCGCCGAACGTGGGCCACGGTCAGCAAGATTGGGGGAGTTGAGTGAGAAGGTCACTGAGGAGCTCGAGCTCGGGGGTAAGATTGGGGTGGAACGGTTGAGTCCGAAATAGGCCCTCTCAACATCCGCACTCCGTTCGACCATGATTTCGGCATGATTCCGACGCAGGTCGGGTAATGACTTCTTGAGCCGTAGCTCCGGCCGCTTGCGAACCCATTGTGAGCTCGAACTTGAAGATGCATTCCGGTTGTGTTGAACCATGTGATCATAGGCTTCGGTGGTAGTCCGAGATATTGGCACTGATGTCGTCACCGGTGATGTCCCTGGTCCACCACTGCTCAGGGTCATCACAGGAGAGATGTCGGGAGATTGAGTACCTTTAAAGTTATGAAAACTTCGCTCAAAGTCTACAGCAGATCGGAGTGCACCAAACTCACTAACCAGAGAAAAAAAAAAGTCAATTTATTGGTAAGATTCACATTCTTCTTCTTCAAAGTTCTCACTCACGAAGGGTCTCCAACGATTTCTCCAGTCGAAGGTCTGATTTGTTTGACTGGTCGAACGTAAGGATTCTTGCGCATCCATTCTTGTAGGGTACGTAGCCATTGTGCCATTGAGGTGCTAGTCTCACTGGATGGAGTCCTTGTTCTGATGTGAGATGATCCATCGTCTCGAGCCCGATGGGTTGGATCCACCTCATCCTCATCCGCTCGTTCACAGGCATCGACAAAAGTTACCAACTCTTTTGGTGGCCAGATCACTGGATTATGGTCAATCTTGAGTACCCTGAGCGTTGTCAGATTAGCCACATAGTTGGGCAGACGCTTGATTCGATTACGAGAGACTGAGAGAACCTGTGTGTGTGTGTGTGTTTCAGCACGAGTTTGTATTCAAATCCTTTTTGTTTTTGTTTTCGTGAATTCACTGACCCTGAGACGATCCAAGCTACCAGGTCTTCGAGGAAATGCCTTGATCTTATTCCGACTGACGTCTAGTATTTCCAAGGATGGCATTCGAGTGAGCTGTAATATATATGTATATCACTAGAAATCAATTAACCATTTCTTTTTTTTTTCTTTGTGTTTTGTTTTGATGAACAGAACCAACCACTTCAGGAAAGATCTCCATGTGATTACCACGTAGGTTGAGATATCGTAGAGAGTCACCGAGGATGGCGAAATGATCAGGTAGGACGGGTAGATAGTTATAGCCGAGTGCGAGCCGTTCGACGTATTCAGCGAGTTCCTCAACGACAGGCTGAGTTAGATCAGCAATGCGTCTGTGGGAGAGGTCCAATGTTTCGGCCATCGCTCTGTTATTCTCGATTCTTGATGAGTCTGGGATGGTGAGTGTGAGTGATTGGTTGTTGGTGTTGGAATGGCCGTCGTTTGAGCAGGTGGACATGGTGGATGAGCTGAGACAGAGGTTGGATCCGATGACTTCATCGTAGTTTGAGCTGGCATTGCTTCCTGCTCGACTGTGTACGCTTAGTGAGGCTTGATCTACTGGTGTGCTGGGTGATCTCCTTCTGTTGATGGCTGCGATTCTCATCTGTCTGACATGTCTCAGTAGTGCTTCTGGTGTGATGGGCAGTGTTGGGTCAGTCTGGATGAGGTTGTGGGTGTTTTGTTGTTGTTGTTGTTGCTGGTTGGTTGAGAGTGAGAGTGAGAGTGAGAGTGATGGGGTGTGATGGTTGTTGTTGGGTTCTTCTGAGGTTGACATTTCTTCTGGTTGGTGATGGTGTTGGTTCTTGTTTGGTTTTGTGTTGGGTCTGGAAATGGGTTTTCGAAAAAAAAAATCCGAGATTTGGACAGTCCCGATTACGTAATCATCACCCACCACCTTCAACTATTTAGCCTCCGTCTGACCACCTCCATGACCCCCTCCTCCCTGGCGTAACGGTTATCGCACTCGACTTGCTCAAACTATCCAATCATCACAAGCAACCCAAGCACCCCGGGACGTTCAAAGCTTACACACTGTGTCCATGAAGACCAAGCAGTCCCTCCTGCTCCAATGGCAATTAGTGCCCTCGCACCACTTCTCAGTGTTCCAGCTTTATTTAGAGATGGTGACAAGTGCCAGGTGCAAAGGTGCTCTGGAAGGCTTGCTTATGGATGGCACTTTCTTGAAACCAAGTGTCCATGTTGTGGAAACCACAAGACAGAGCTCAGGATCTCCTGTGCTTCCTGCAAGAAAATCTACAACAAAGAGCCAGTTCCCTGTGGGTGCCCCCCTCCCAATGCCTGAGGATAGAATTACATGTTATTAGAATAGCAGGGTTCAAGATTATAAGCTTTTAATTGCTTCTTGAACCTGGCTTAGGCACCAATTAGAAATACTTTTTTGAACCTTTTTTTGAAATTGTTTTGAGTTTGCTTAATAGAGGTAAATTTCTGACAATTTATCTCAAAGCAACCTCAAATTGCCTCCTTGAGCCAATTTGAGTTCAAAATTAATTCTAAGCTTAAATATAGGGCCTTACCAGAAAAAACACTGTTTTTCCACGTTTTGACGCGGTTTTCAGCACACACATATTCCGCATTTGGATGCGTTTTTTGCATTTAATTTTTAACACTTATCTTTAGGGTGCATTTAATTTTTAACACTTATCTCTAGGGCCTTGATTAAAAACCACGGTTTTTCCGCGTTTTGAAATGGTTTTTGCTGCACGCAGCACACACGGATAAAAACCACGGTTTTTCCGCGTTTTGAAATGGTTTTTGCTGCACGCAGCACACACGGATTCCGCATTTGGATGCAGCTTTTGTATTGAATTTGTTAACACTTATTTTTATGTTTTTTCAAAATTTCAAATTCATTTCCTAGATCATAATATGTGTAGAATTTATATAAGGGTAAAATCCATTTTCCCTAAAAATCAACAGTTTATTTTTAGGGGGTTGGAAAAACGACTCCCTAAAATTCGCCAACGACTCCCATTTTGGTCGAGGGGTTGTCGGACGGGAGTCGTCTTTCCAATCCCCCCAGCTGGGGGATTGGGAGTCGACCTCCCAATCAATTTTTTATTTATTTATTTTTTTGGGTGGGAGTTGGCGCCCAAAACCCTCCTTGGCAAGTGGGAGGTTTGGGAGTCGCCTCCCTCCCACTGGCTGGGGGGGGGGGGGGGGGATTCCCACCGGTCATCAAGACTGTACAGTCTTGATGACCGGAAGGAATCCCTTCCGGTCATCAAGATCATACAATCTTGATGGCCGGAAGGGGTTCCTTCCGGTCATCTGCAAGACTGTACAGTCTTGATCGGCCGGAAGGGATTCCATCCAGTAGATGAGGCTGTTCCAGCTCATCGATCAGAAGGAATTCCTTCCGGTCGATGGGGTTGTTATACCTCATCAATCTGAAGGAAATCCTTCTGGTTGATGAGGTACAACAACCTCATCAATTGGAAGGGAGTTGATGAGGTATAACAACCTCATCAACTGGAAAGGATTCCTTCCATTCAATGAGACAACAACCTAATGTAACCCTGGGGTCATCAAGACTGTACAGTCTCGATGACCAGAGGAATCCCTCCGGCCATTGAGACAGTGTACAGTCTCAAAGGCCGGAGGGTTCCCTCTGGCCTCAACAGGCCCATGCAGGACACCAACTGGTGTCCTACATGGGTTGCTGACACCCTGGTGCAGCCCAACACGCCCAAAACTGCATTCCCAGGGCAGGTGTCAAGGCGGGTACCCGGGTACCCGCCTTTTTTTTGCCAAATGTCGACACCCACACCCGCATCCGGCACCCGTTTGCGGGTACCCGCTTTGGAAAACGGGCACCTGTTGAAATCTCTACCTCCATTCTTTGATACTGTACACTGTCTCAATGGCGGGAGGGATTCCCCCGTTCATTGAGACTGTACAGTCTTGATGACCCCAGGGAATCGCTCCTGGCCAGTGGGACTTGGAGGGAGGCGGTTATTGATGACCTGAAGGGATTCCTTCCAGTCATCAAGATTGTTGTTGTTTCTCTTTGACCAGAAGGGATTCCTTCCGGTCAATGAGGTACAACAACCTCATTGGCCGTAAGGGATTCCTTCTGGTTGATGATCTTCCATCTCATCAATCGGAAAGAATTCCTTCTGATTGATGAGGTGGAACAGCCTCATCGACCGGAAGGAATACCTTTGAATCCCTTCCGGTCAATGAGGCCCATAGACTCCTCCACAACCGCAGGCACCCGCCCTGGAAGACCTGGCAGGTGCGGGTGTCCAAAAAATTTGATTTTTGAGGTGGGTACCCACACCCGCTGCGGGTACCCAGGTCCAAAGTGACATCTCTAGATGGCCCTGGCGCATCCAGATATCTGGCTGCTTTTTCCAGGGAAACCACCATCTGCATCCGCTGGCAGGCATCCCTCCGCCTTAGTGGGTATCCAAGCAGGTATCTTCAGATACCCTCCACTTGCACAAGGGTGGTTGAACAGGGCGGCCAACAATCAACTGGAAGGGTTTCCTTCCAGTCAACGTGGCACATGTATCTTGTTGGCCAGAAGGAAAACCTTCCAGTCAACAAGGTACATGTACCTTGTTGGCCAGAAGGAAAACCTTCCAGTCAACAAGGTACATGTACCTTGTTGGCCAGAAGGAAAACCTTCCAGTCAACAAGGTACATGTACCTTGTTGGCCAGAAGGAAAACCTTCCAGTCAACAAGGTACATGTACCTTGTTGGCCAGAAGGAAAACCTTCCGGTGAATGAGGTACATGTACCTTTTCAGCCAGAAGGAAAACCTTCCAGTTGACAAGGCAAATGTACCTCTTTGTCTGGAAGGAAACCCTTCCAGTCAACAAGGCACATGTACCTTGTCGGCCGGAAGGAAGACCTTCTGGTCAACAAGGTTGATGAATTGTGCTAGGTCCAGGTCACCAAGTCTTGATGATATTGTGGTATTGAAGTTGTACAAACTTTGCAGTGTTCTTGCTCTTGTGCTATACTCAAGGAATATCTCCTTCAGGAGCATGTCCAGTTGGCGGATTTGCTTATGCAAACACAATCACCAATTAGTCTGGAGTTCAAATTTGAAGAGGCGGGTCTTGAATTCTGTCCAAGTTATGGTAAGATAACCAGCTGCCTTTGTAGCAAAAAAAAAATTGCATGTTGGTCTTGGCAATAAGATTTCCCAGAATCTTGATCTTGTCTGCCAAGAGTGTCACGTCCTTGGTCTCAAAAATAATCTGAACGCCATTTATCCACCGTAAGAACAGTTTGGTCACCTGAAACGGTGTCAACCTTAGAGAAATGTTGACATGTCCTAAAGGTTTCACAAAACATTTAAAACAAATGAAAAAATAATAATATTGAAATTAATGAAGATTTCACTTAGATGTTAGAGGTTTCACAGATATGTGATCTCTTGAAATTAAGATTAATCAAAGAACACCAAATCCTTTGAATATCAAAAGCAATCTTCAAGAAAGATGACTTCAGCCTTGCAAGATGATCAAATCAAAGCAATCCAAACAATACCAAGCTTTGGAAGAAGGACTGGTACAAAATAGTCAACCTCAGGGACCGGAACAGTCCTTCCTCCCTCCTCAGCAAATAAAAAACTTCTTACTTCTCATAACTGTTCTTGAGATACAAAAATAAAAGGTAAATTACTTAGAATAAATCATCAGAAACTAACCTTTTCTGATAGTCTTATTTTATCTAACCCTTTCTTATTTTTATTATCTACAAAATAGTTTGACTTAAGAAATTTTGATTGACTTTTGCTTTATTCTCTCTATCTTCAGATCACCCAAACCAACCTCTTTAAGCTGTTGCTATTCTTCATCTGTTACTTTGCTTTGGATCATTTTAATAATGATATCTTGAATGAACTATCAAAAAATAAATAAATAAATAAATAAATGATCGGGTTTGATTCAAATAACCCTTCCATGTTATTTAAATGGATAAAAAACGATCACAATCAACACATATTTGATTGATCCTGCTCCTACCTTTAGGATCAGAGGCCTAGGTGTTTCCTTACCGGCTATAATATATTCTCCAAGAATATAAGAACTATGATTAAATAAACAAATAAAAATAAAAAATAACTCTTCTATTCCTCGTCTCTCTATCCCTTTGTATTTAGTCTTCTCTTTAGTAATAATATATTTTATTGCTATCACCAATTTTGTCCAGCTTGATCTCTATGTGAGATCAAAAGCTGACAAACGGTCTGTGGTAAGTAGGGTCAATGATGAAACAGATACAGTATCTGCCATGTATCTGTCATATATCACTCCATTTATCTGAACCCCAATGAAAAAATTATCTGACCAATGTGCTGGTATTTGCAAGGAGATGCAACAATTGAGTTTTTGGCCATGCAGATTTGCAGAATTCTCTATAATACACACAGAGTATTGTATCTGTTACATCCTTGGTAGGGCTATCAGGCGCACGGAAATTCTGTAAATCCACATGTCCATTCCCAGGGCCACAGAAAACTGGCTGGACAACCATCCAGCACACCAACCAAAAGTCATCCTGCCTGAACCTTGGTGTAGCTTGTTAAGTGACAAACTTAAGGATGAATTTCAAATAAGTAACATGAACAAAAAAAAATTATAAATGATAAAAAGAGATGAATCAATGCCTTAAGGCAGGAACAATAAAATAGAGGAAAAAACAACAACTAATGAGAAGAACGGGTGAACAGGAAAAGACTAATTATAAAAGAGAGGCAATTAGTTGATGTATCCATACATGAGTGATTGAATAAAGACCTATGATGACGAGAATTCCTGAGTTGTTTGAGTTGGCAGAAGTT